CATTCTGTCCTTGACATTACTATCCTTGTGGTTCCTGCCCTACCTCTACAACTCTCTTATTTTGGTGTAAACACAGTATCTGTCCGTGTCAAATCCAGTCTGGTGAGGGAACAGTTCTAAATAAGTGAGTACATAAGCATAATGTGAAGTCACAGGCTAGATTACCTGTGTGTCAAGGTACCACACCAAAATGACAGTAACTAATATAATGATATAGAACATATTACTGGACCTTGGAGTGGTCAGGTTTAAGGTAAGGATTATAGAATATAGTCCTGATAGGAGAAGGTAGAATAAACAAGTACACAAAGCCAAGGTCAGGGGTCCCACACGTAAGATACAGAGTCAAGTCAAACCAGAAAAACACACGGAATACTAGAATACATCCTATGGCTACGAAGACCAAAATAGGGCGAGGAAGCGATGTCAGAGAAGGACATAAGTAGGCATAATTATGTTGTGATAGACTTAGGAAACGATTGGGATAATCAGTAATTGTTATAAAAGTGTGTTTGGCCCACAAATATTTTGGGTTTACTGTCTCTTTAACATCAGGTAGAATCAAGTGTTCTGCATCAGAGAGGAGTGCGCAAGCCCCCTAGCATGCGTGCATTTGGCTGAATGTCAGGATGCGGCAGCATCAGAAGGAGGAGGTGCGGCGCTGGCCGAGAGAAGGTATGACACTGAAACCAGGAAGGCTGCAATCATCTAAACATGCATACATTATGGTTAGATTACATACAGTTTGGTGCACTGCAACATGATAAAAAAAAATTAACTCCTTGGTAGATACTAATTTGTAATCTCTGAGGGTAAATCAATTTGCGTTTACCTTGCAGAAATCCTACACCGTCAGTCACAGTGGATGGGATATGTCCAGAAATGTCTGCTGTGTCTACGTCAGCATCTGTCACTGTATTGAAGTCCCCTTCTAAAATAAAAATAGACAAATTTTAGCATATCAAACTAAGGGAAAAAAAACAACACACATTTGATTTGGATCACTTGGGGTTAAGATACTGGCTAGGTCTACAACAAAGTAAGAGTAACTAAGTTTCAGGGATCTGAGTGCCCAGAGATTAACTGATTACAGTGCCTGCTGACAGACATAGGAGAAAATCTTGTGGCAATAAAGCATCCTGTAGAATATATACATTCAGGACTTTTAAACAGTAATCTTTTTACATGGCCTTCAAACACGTGTGGTAACTCAATCTTAACAAACAGCGATCTCTCCAACATGTGGCCTGGCAAATAACTGTGTTTGTAGTTCCAATTTAGGCTTGATCATACCGATCCTTATAAGACATGATATATTGAAACAACTCTGCCAGAAATACATGTGGGCTGCAAGACAACAAAAATGCTGAATAACTTGGAAATTGAGCCCGTAGTTTAAAAGCACCATAACAGCTACAGTAATCTGTATTGATTATAATGTCTGGATTGTTTTAGTGTTCAAACAATAAAATGCTAAAAATATATATTTTTTTTCTTATCTTACCTTGAAAGGTATGCCTCTTGCTGGTATCATCTATTACAGGGTCATGGCAATCTTTGTTACTAGTTCCTAAGAAAAAAAAAAATCAAAAAAGAAATCTGATTGCAAAGTATTGTAGGTTTCATTTAAAGGGACACCCCATTAACAACATAAATAAAATAAAAAATGATTTAATTGGTATACCCCCAATGGTGCATGCAATATGAGGAGTCTAAATCGGAAGAAGCACCAGTCCATGCAAAACAAGTCATGGCGGGTGAAGCAAGATGAATGTACGAAAAGTCACCATGTGTATATTGGCATTTGCCTACAGATTGTGTGTGTTTATGCTGCATGATATTGCTACTTTTCCTTGCCCGCTTTAGTTTTAAGTATATATATATATATATATATATATATATATATATATATATATATACACACGGTATATATATATATATACACACACATACACATACAAACATATACTTATATTTATTTTTAAATAAAACTTTATAAGCATTCATGTATTTGGCTTCTCCTTCACATTTCGGATTGGACTGCTTGCTAGTACGGGAGCTTGTTCCGGCCTTACAAAAATTCCAATATTATCCGTCTACCCTTACTACTCTGAGATGTTGTTTCTATAGAAATAGTTCCAGTTTGAACGAAGTTCTTTCTTGAGTGCACAATATATAGAGCTGAGGTTGGATAACTGATTAATCTAGTCTGGACTATTATTTTGTGCATGCTTGTTTATTTCAGGGTAAATTTGTTATTATTTTTTAACCATATTGACGCACTCCATTAATTTTAGTTTGATTTGTTATTGCTATGTAATTTGTTTTGAGTGTTTTCTTTGGGGTTACAAGACTTGCAATAGCTGCTGATCTAGTATTTGCAGCTACTGCAAGTACTACCCAACAGCACAGACTTTCCTTTGCTGTCCAATCACAGACTTGAGTCCAATCACAGACTTGAGTCCAATCACAGAAAAGTGTTTGCAAGGTAGGTGTTCTAGGCAGTTGCCTGCCTCTTAAGTTTAGCTCCACAGAGCTAAATTACAGTAAATAACAAGAACAGCTGTCTAACTGACAGCTGTGGGGTTGGTAGAAGATTAATTTATAAAAGTGCCAATTTCTATAGAAAGCACTTAAACTAAAGTGCGTATGTATGTGGTGTGTTTCTTTAAGTAACAAGAAAAGCATTGGTCTGTTTCAAAGACTGATTACATGGTATAATGTACAACAACGTGTTTTTTTTTTTTTACTTCTACCTAGTCATACCTTGAGTTCCAGGGCCATCTACAAGGCAGTCTTTTAGCCCATCAGAAATCAGATCCAGTCTGGAAACAAAAAACACGGTTATTGTATCAGTTAAGTAAACCCCAAATTAAATGAAACAAGTTGAAACAAACAACTAAACCATATTTTAATGAGATATCTATTTACTTGAAATAATTCAGAAAAACAAAAATATTAGATTTATTCAAACAGTGCCAAACACATGGACTTTTAAAAGAGATAGTAACAACAATAACTCTTACTGGGGTCCCCTAGCAGCTTCCCCACAACTCCTATCCATGTCAAGGTGTGTGTGACATCATGCAAGACACCAAGAGTACCTGCTTTATAGTAGCACAGTATATTATTGTATAGCCCAGCGGTTACCAAACTGTGCACACAGGGGTGCTGCGGAATGTTTCCCTGGTGCTATGATTATAGCACCGGGGAAACATTACTACTGAACAGGGGCCCGGTCGTATGCCACGGTCCTTTAAGACCGCGACCAGGCCCCTGTAATGTCGGCCGGCTGGGAGAAAGTGACAGCCTGCCAGCATCATGCAGGGAGACAGTGCAGGAGGAGACAGCCGCAGCATGAGGGGAGAGGAGCACGAAGATCTCCATACCCCTCACTCCCACAGCAGCAGGACTCCAAGCCACCCTCCTGGCACATAAGGTAAGCTGGAGGGAACAGGAGGGTGGCTGGAGATATATATTTTTTTTTAAATCACTTGTATGTGTGTGAGTGTGTGTATGAGTTTGAGTATGAGTGAGTGTGTATGAGTGTGTGCGTGTGAATGAGTGTATGTATGAGTGTGTGTGAATATGACTGTTTGTATGTATGAGTGTGTATAAGTGTGTGTGAGTATGTGTGTGTCAGGGTGAGTGTTTTTATGTCAGTGTGTGTATGTGTGTCATGGTGTGGGCATGTATCAATGTTTGTATGTGTCAGAGTGCATGTGTGTATGTCAGTGTGAATCTATGTGTGTGTACGTGTGTATCTATGTGTGTGAATGTGTCGGTGTCTATATGAATTTGTGTGTATGTGTCAGTGTATTTATATGCATCTGTGTGTCAATTAGCATGAATATCTGTGTAAGTATGTATGTATGTATGTATGTGGTAGTGTATGTGCATACATCCAAGCAGTCAAAGACCAGCACAACATACAAGCACACTCCTGCAATGTAACACAAATATTACATACAAACACACCATTGCATTCAAACTAAAAAAAAAAAAAAACACACCCCTTCACTCAAACACAAATACTTCACACAAATGTACATCCACATTTAAAAGTGAACATTACATTCAGACACACCCCTGCAATCAAACGCAAACATTAAATACAAACACACCCCTATATTAAAACACAATAACTATATACAAGCACCCCTTCAAACACTGTACATTACACTATAGAGCCAGTAAATGCGGCAGCGCTGTACAGATATACAACCTAGAAATTTTGACTTGGGGTGCCTTGGAAAAATATTGAAATATTAAGGGTGCCTTGAACCTAAAACGCTTGGGAACCACTGGTATAGCCCCAATATAATACATTGTATATGTGTATAGAACACCATGGAAGTTACAACAGAAGAAGGGATCAACTTAAATGCTTATAGCAAAGTAAATGTAATAAGTTGCTTATATGGATGTGAAATTAATTTTAACATAAGTTAATTTACTACATATTTCAGCTGCCTCTTTTAAAGCCTGATATGTTAACTCCAAAGTTCTGTACTAAAAGACTATCAGGTTATTTACTAAAGTGAGAATTCAAAGTGAATTAAAAATTTAAGGCCAGAGTAGCCGAACTGAAAGCATAGCTGAGTTAGATCATTTTTCCAGTTCAGCTATTTTGCCCTTAAATTTGAACTTCTCTTTGAATTCACTTTCAGTTTTCACAAATAACCCTATAAGATTGTAAAAAAATATTTACATAAATTCTAGAATATCATCAAGGAAAAAACATCTACCAAAGCAGGCATAATATAACGTGGAAACATTCACTGAACATATAGCAAATGCAGTATCCGGCATGATATGGTCAGTCAACAGTCAACAGCTGTACTTTTTACTAAGTACAGCTTACAAATGTTTGCTCAGTTATTGATAAGTGGTAGGTAATAGGGATAGTTCTTTAACATTTATCAAAAGAGTATCTTTGAAGTGAGTACTAAGTGCTGGGTAATAAGTGCAAAGTGTCATTGCTTCCCACAGATTAGGTATTATAGATATTAGCTTTTACAGCGTTAGCCGTTTATTGTAACAGCATGGGAACAAAATGGCATTTTAGTCAAATGAATAAGCTACACGTTTCATTAACAAGAGTTAGCTCAATAGAAGCATTAGAATGGCATTTTCTGTAAAAAAAAATAATAAAATAAATGAAAACTAGAAAAGCTACAATTTCTGGGGAAATTGTGTGAAGTGTTCTTGTCTCCACCACTAGTCTACAACTAGGGATCAAGCGATTATCGATTTTACTGATATTATTGGCCGATTTTTGGTATTTTTGGCAATATCGGTATCGACCACTAAAGATACTGATATTGCCGATATTGATAGAGTGAGAAATGCATTTCAACTTTTATTTATTTATATAGCACATTTAATTGCAACGTTGTTGCCCAAAGTGCTTCACAGTTACATTAAAACATACGTTTACAAAAACATTAGCAGGTGTACAAAAGGCCCTGTCTATGACATCACTTGCTGCTCCAGCCTGGCACAGGTCAGAGTATTTTGGTGGTTGCCATCTTCAAACGGTCATAATCTAAAAACTATACATCCTACAGCGAATAGCTTTATATTGTGAGAGTCACAAGACCCAGACCTACATTATGATGCATAGTATGTCTCTGAAGTATTAAAAATGAAGGCACAGTCGCAGTTTAGAAATTGCTCTTCAAGTTTGAGCTGGCTAGAATGGAGTTTCAATGAATGTCAATGGACGGCGTAAGTCATAAACAAATGGTCATATTGTGAAAGCGATCAGGACTATGGCTTAGCCGTGGATATTTTTAGTGGCAGCGGGGATAGCTGAACGTTTTGAAATAAGATTTGTGTAGGTGGGCTTGAAAATGAAGGAGTGGTGGCAGTTTAGAAATCACGTCCTGATTTTTCAGCTTTTGCCAGCTCCCACTCTAGTTTTGAACATTTTGCCATTCATTCCTATGGGACCAATTTCGCCACAAGAACGACGATATTCCGTGAACCATTTGGCGAAACGTTCCACAAGGTAATAGCAATCCAATCGGGAATAATCCGCACGTTTCGGTATATTAATGTCTATGTAGTGTAAAAACTGTGGGAGGAGTTAGGGTGGAAAATTTGGCTATAAAAGGAATAATATATATGCGAGATAACATTAAGTGGTCTTGCTATGCAAGAACACTTAATAAACTAGTAATGATACCATCAGATAATGTTTATCCTCCATTCAAAACAGGTAACATAGGCCACATGTCAAGTGCTGTTAATATTAATCATTAAAATGATTGGCCTGGTTATCTACAACATCTGGCAGATTTGTCACTACAGGAGATGCTTCATGGCTTTTATTTTCATGCATTTTCTCATTTGGTCAATTCTAGGTCACACAAAATACCCACTCATTATAATCCACAGGCAACAGAGATTTGCAGCAGTGGTCACTGTTTACCGCAACCATAAAGTATTACTGGTAATCTCTATCAATGGGAATGGGTGTGCTAAGTGTTGGTTGAATAGAAATGTGACTACAGTAATACCTTTTAACAACAAACTGAATGTCATCGATACTTTCCAATATTCTTCTAAGTTTTGAAATTCCAAAGCAATTCGGACGTCGAAATGAAATTCCTTCAGGCAATCCCAAAACAAATAGGTCTTCCGGGTACATCAAAAACTTAGAATATGGCACTTTGACAGGCTCGGGAGCTCCAATAGCTTTTGCTGTTAAAAAAATAACATGATAATAATGAGCATGGAAACACGAAATTATGGAAAATGCGTCAATGCATGTAGGCATTAGGGTTGTGTGTAGATGCATTCATGGCACCAAATGTGCATGCATGAACTCAACTCTTATTTTAATAACTATACTAGTATTTTTCACAGTTATTTTGACAGCACTACAAAAATAAAATGAAGCACACATGCAGAGAACTTTATTGAGTAGGGATTCAGTGATAACAAAAAATGATGTACAAGTAAATATAACTGATGCAGATTTGGACTCATTTCTAAATGAGACGTCTGGAGATCTCTCTTATGCCTGGTCCAATAAATATATGTGGGTCAGTCTACATGGCAGAAGTACTGCATCCACGCAGTGTGCATCCAACCAAAACTGGTTGAAGATTAGCATCTGATTTGTTTGACTGGTGAGAATGTATCAGAGCCAAACATAATTTCCAGAAGATTCCCAGATATGGTATTGTAAACTAGAAATGTCAGCCAATTATTTTAATAAAATGTACTGATGTCTGTAAATACTGCCAAAGAAACATTCATTATACAAATGAAGAAATGGTGTCCAGAACAGGTTATCTTTTCTGTTGACACAAATACTGAATTTATGGACTGTGAGATTAAATTCAAACATTGCTTTGTTTCAGTGAATCTCAGCATTAACAGGATTCCAAGCAAACAGACACACCTGGATATTACAGCTATGTTTACAATACACCGTTATATCATACCTATATCATGCCTCAAAGGAACATTGATCTACTTATGCAGTTAATCTCTGGTTAATGGCTACTTACCGTATTTTGTGTTGAACGCATTTTCTACTTGTTTTCTCAGCTGTCTTATTAAGTCTCCAATTCCTTTTTGTGCCAAGGAAAATAACCGAAAACAAATAAAATGAAAATATATTTTAGGCAATGTATGATATCATTTAATTTTTTTTTTATTTTCAAACTCTTCAAAACAAAATGTGTGGCTAATTTTTTATTTAGTGAGACATTTATAAACAATTTCAGAATACAAAAATATATATTAACCAATTCAATAACATACACACTGCAAACAAGTAAGAACTGAACCTTGGCATCAGAAAATGTGATGTACATTTGAAACATCAGAACATTATAAACATGAAAAAAAAAAAAAAACCACCTGGTTTCAGAATGCCATAAATACCACTGTATGTGGCAATTATGCCATGGACAGTAAAATAAAATATCACCATTAATTCACAAAAAGTACAAAAGACTCATGATAATATTAAATGTATGCTTACTAATGCAAGGAGCCTATATAACAAAATGGGGGAACTAGAGGCAATAGCATACACTAAACAATATGATATAATAGGCATAACAGAAACATGGTGGGATGAGACACATGACTGGGCAGTTAAAATAAATGGGTATACGTTATTTAGGAAGGATAGGAAAAACAAGAAGGGTGGTGGGGTATGTTTATATGTCAACCGTGAGTTAAAGTCAAATCTTAGGCATGTGGAGTGTGACGAGGAAAAGGTGGAGGCTTTATGGGTAGATATCTGCTTGGGGAAAACAAAGGGAAATCAATTATTGGTTGGGATATGTTATAAACCTCCTAATGTAAATATTAATGAGGAAGAACAGCAGTTAGAGCAAATTGAGAAAGCTGCAAATCGAGGTAACCCATTAATTATTGGAGATTTTAATTATCCAGACATAAATTGGGAAAGAGGGACTAGTACTTCAGCAAGGGGAATCAGGTTTTTGAATGTGTTAAATGACACCTTTATGTCACAACTGGTACAAGCACCAACTAGACAGGATGCTTGTCTGGATCTTGTCATAACAAACAATGTTGATCTTTTAACCAACATTCAAGTAGGGGAGCATTTGGGAAATAGTGATCACAATATGGTAAATTTTGAAATAAACTCAAAAAAGCAAAAGCAGGTGGGGTATACTAAAACATATAATTTTAAAAAAGCCAATTTCAATAAGATTAGGGCAGCTCTACAACATATCGACTGGCATAAACTCCTTAGTGATAAAAACACTGAGGATAAATGGAAACTATTCAAACATATATTAGAAAGGTACATTTCTCAGTATGTACCATTGGGTAATAAATATAAAAGAAACAAATTAAAACCAATGTGGCTTAGTAGAGAAGTAAAACAAGAGATTAAAAATAAGAAAAGGGCATTTAAAGCATTTAAATCAGACAAATCAAAGGCATCCTATTTAAGATATAAGGAAGCCAATAACACTTGCAAAAAGGCAATTAAAGTGGCTAAACTAGAAAATGAGAAATTGATAGCTAAAGAATGCAAAACCAACCCCAAAATTTTTTTCAAGTACATCAATTCTAAAAAAACAAAAAATGAAAGTGTAGGTACACTTGAAACAGAGTTGGGTTTATTAGCTAATGAAGACCAGGAAAAAGCAGAAATTTTAAATAACTATTTTTCTTCAGTATATATTAATGAGGATCCTATGGCAAGAGATATGCAAATGTTTGCTGCAAAAAACTTGCAAATAACTTGTGACTGGATAACTCGAGACAAGGTGCTACAGCTATTAAAGAAAATTAATGTAAATAAAGCTCCGGGGCCTGACTGTATTCACCCACGAGTACTTAAGGAGCTAAGTGGGGAAATAAGTGAACCTCTGTATTTAATTTTTCAAGATTCTTTTGTTTCAGGTGTTGTACCGGAGGATTGGAGGAAGGCAGATGTTGTTCCTATATTTAAAAAGGGTTCAAAATCCTTGCCTGGAAATTATAGACCTGTGAGCTTAACTTCAGTAACTGGGAAAATATTTGAAGGGCTATTAAGGGATAATATTCAGGAATTCATTGGGAAGAACTTTGTTATTAGCAATAATCAGCATGGTTTTATGAAACATAGGTCATGTCAAACTAACCTAATTGCATTCTACGAAGAAGTAAGTAGAAGTATAGATCAGGGTGTTGCAGTGGATGTGATCTACTTGGACTTTGCCAAGGCATTTGATACGGTTCCTCACAATAGGTTAGTCTTCAAACTAAAAGAAATTGGTCTAGATGAATATTCCTGTTCTTGGGTAGAACATTGGCTTAAGGACAGAGTACAACGAGTTGTCATTAATGGTAAATTTTCAGGCTGGACAAAAGTGGTAAGTGGTGTCCCTCAGGGTTCTGTTTTGGGACCACTTCTATTTAACATATTTATAAATGATCTTGAAATAGGCATTGAAAGCCATGTATCAGTGTTTGCAGATGACACAAAACTTTGTAAAGTAATAAAATGTGAGCAGGATATTGCTTTGTTGCAGAGAGATTTGGATAGATTGGGGGACTGGGCACTAAAATGGCAGATGAAATTTAACATAGAAAAATGAAAAGTTATGCACTTCGGGGTTAAGAATGCACAAGCAACTTACACACTAAATGGTAGTGAATTAGGGATAACCACACACGAGAAGGATTTGGGCATTGTTATAGACAACAAATTAGGCAGCAATATGCAATGTCAATCTGCAGTTGCTAAGGCCAGTAAGATTTTGTCATGTATAAATAGGGGCATAAATTCTCGGGATGAAAATATAATTTTGCCTCTTTATAAATCGCTGGTGAGACCACACCTTGAATATGCTGTGCAATTTTGGGCGCCTGTTCTAAAGAAGGATATCATGGCACTGGAGAGGGTCCAGAGACGAGCTACAAAATTGATAAAAGGAATGGAGCATTTTAGTTATGAAGAAAGGTTACAAAAATTAAATCTGTTTCGTTTGGAAAAACGGCGCCTGAGAGGGGATATGATAACTTTATACAAATATATTCGGGGCCAGTACAAACCTTTATCTGGAAATCTATTCATAAACAGGGTTATACATAGGACATGAGGTCACACATTTAGGCTGGAAGAAAGGAGATTTCATCTAAGGCAAAGAAATGGTTGTTTTACAGAAAGAACAATAAGGATATGGAATTCTCTGCCTGAAGAGGTGGTTTTGTCAGAGTCCATACAGATGTTTAAACTGAAATTGGATAAATACTTACAAAAACATAACATACAGGGATATAATTTCTAATTAGTGGGTAATAGCTGATTGATCCAAGGAGACATCTGACTGATATTTTGGGGTCAAGAAGGATTTTTTTCCTAGTTTGTGGCAAAATTGGAAGTGCTTCAGACCAGGTTTTTTGCCTTCTTTTGGATCAACAGCAACAACATTTCTGAGGAAGGCTGAACTTGATGGACGCAAGTCTCTTTTCAGCTATGTAACTATGTAACTATTAAGGACATGCCTCTGTTGAGTTTTGGCAAGGGTTAGATAACATGATTTGAACAAGGCAAAGGAGGGACCAGCCATTTAGTTTCTCTGCCAAATGAGGATTTACACAGTCTTTAAATTAATTCAGCCTGTGCATACATAAGACTGGGGTAAATAGTAGACTTCTGACTTCTACATGGGATTGTAAGTGTTAATAGTTTCAGCACTCACTAAATGAAAAATACCAATATAATTCAATGTCTGTATTAATATTTCATAGAAGCCTTTTGGAATACTGCATAAGATGCCTCTATATTATGTTGCATTTCACTTTTTCAGTGTTGCCCAAAAGGTACAATTTCATTTGGAAATGAAACATAAATTAAACTCTTAGAAGAACAACCATCCGAGCCTAGGAGGTTAAAATAAATCTCTTTAATGAGGAGACTGTAAAGTTACCACGGTAACCACTGTCCAAAGCTGCAGAGCTTTCTAAAGTCTGAGGCAGAAGTGCTAGCAAATAATTATCCAATGGGGTTGACTGTGATCTGGAAAACTGGCATACATGGCTGAACAGGCATCTATATGTGCATTATGCAAACTAATTACTTATATAACTGAACCACAAGATCTGCTGTTACAGTATGTCACACCAACCTATTTTATTATGTTACCTCTAAAAGGCATCATACTACCAATAACTAAAGAGGTATCTACATCCACAGTATTATAGCCAGTGTGACAGAATGCTTGCTATCATTTTCCTGCTTAACACTTATGATTTAGCTGCCTTGCTATGATTTTGGTTGATGCTGAGGATGCAGTTATATTTTTATATGAATTTATGAGATACTGCAATGTCAGGAAAGGCAAATCATCTTCATAATGTCTCTGTACCCAAGCAACATTTTTTCCCCATTAAAATAGTTTTCTGTAGAACACTGCAAATCTTTTTTCTAAATCTGACTCACTCTTGAGTTCTCTCTAGTTCTCCCGAGGGAATTTTTTCCCCTGAATTTGAAAGTCAGTTAATGGATGTTAGAAGCAGGTCTTATCATCAAATTGGTGAAGGTCTTATCATCAAGTAGGAAAAAATGTTGGTTTGTGCAGACTGAGATATTATGTCCTCTGTAAGCAACAGTAAAATAAGTAATGTCAAGTGTACATTCTCACACTAGGTATAAATGGCTCTGGGATGTTCACTGTCACACAGACATTACTAATATCAAGGTGGGTGCCATGCAAATAAATACAAAATAATGCAATGCAACATAAGTTGTCACTAAATCTTGCATCATGTATATATGTATTAAACACACATAAACATAACAGAGGAGGGCTCCCTTACTTCAAATGCATTTTGCCCTTTGTGGACTAATTAATATGTTTATTATCAAGCCTTATATGCTTACTCCAACTTTCATAACCACAATGGTCCTTACAAACATGTTTATGTTCAAGCCATAAGAGGTTACTCCAATTTTCATAACCACTACAGACCATTTATCCGCTATTGGGGCAGACCAGTTTACAACAGTTTTCCCTCTTACCTGGGGCTTCACTGGGCGCCATGGGTTACATTATAATTGCTGAACCACATCTGGCTACTAAAAAGCTGCAGACACTGGATGCCGGTCCTGCCACTCATTCATTGGCCAAGAGTGTCAGCTTATTGTTCTCAGCCAAATGGTGAGTTCCGTGAGCATTGAAATATGGCACAGAATTGACATGAGCCAGCCCAGAACTGTTGGTCTGGACTGGCGAATGACTCCCCAATGGCATTTCTGGGGGTGGAGTTACACCTCCAGCACCAAAGGTTTCATAGCGAAACGCTTCACATACAGAATCCAGGTACCATGACCACTTTAAATCACTAGTGCTAGGAGTATCTCTTTAGGAACACACATACATTACCTAAGTAGCCATATTTACATAAACAACTAACCACAATACCATTCTCTTATTCACACACATAACCAGCCATGTAACACACAAACACAAATAGCTAACCAAATTCCCACATATATTACCTGCACTCTGCATCATGAACAAACACCTATCCAAGGTTACACAAAGATCTATTTAATAACATTCTCATAACTTAAAAGGACACGATAGTTACCAGAACAACTACCGCTTAATGTAGTTGTTCTGTTGACTACTGCCTGTCCCTGTAGACGTTTTAATGTAAACACTGCCTTTTCAGAGAAAAGGCAGTGTTTATATTACTGCCTAGGGAAACCTCTAGTGGCAGTCACTCAGATGGTCACTAGAAGTTTTTCCTGGGTCTGCATGGCGGCCCTAAATGTTGCTCAAAGAGATGCATTGAATTAACACATCTCTATGAGGAGATGCTGATTGGTGCAGAACAGTGTTTTTTCCAATGGAAAAGCATTGGATTGGCTGAGTTCATCAAGTCTGATGCTCTCAGCCAAGGGGGCGGAGTGTGGAAGAAGTGTGCGTAACTATAGTGTCCTGTCATTATAATGTTCCTTTAACTAGCCACTGTCTCACAAACATGCATTCATAGCTACACTACTTCTCTCAGTCTGCACACACACATACACAACTAATTAGCCATGATTATACATACAAGCCCAACAACTGTACATATATAACAAATCACAAACATACATAATAGGACACATTCACACATATCAATGACTAAATATACTCTCATATACTCAAACTATAAATAACTACATTATTCCTATGTCCTCCCTTTGATGCTCATGCACCTGTCATGGGTGGTTAAGGTGGAAGAGAAAAGAGATCCAAAGTCTGCAGTACTGCTACACTGGTGCTGAAGGTAGTGAGAGGTTTGTGTTGTGGAATTCAAACACATTATTTATTGTGCTTATTCTGTTCACACTACTCTTTTACAGGTGTGGTCTACAGGATATGACATCACAATTCAGAACCTGCTGTTTATAACACAGAATGTTGTTTCAAAGATAGAAGGAGTCTACACTCTTCTCAATGTATTATTCTAGGTGCAAAACTGGCCCTCAGGCTGTCAGCCTCAATACACAAGTAGAAAAAAGCAATATTACCTAAGTAAACAAGGTGAACAAGGTAGCAGATTTATTGAAGAATCAAAGCATGAAGTTACAACAGAAATGATTCCATCTCATATGAAGTCTTTATCACAATTGTTTACCTTAAGTGCCTAGATTATATGGCTTTTTCCTACTTGTGTAACACAAAAGGTGTCAAAAAAAACACAGGAGAAAAAATCTCAAGTATTGACCAGGAGTGGGAATAAGTGCATTTAAATGAAAATAATAATTAAAAAAAATAAAATAAAGATAAAAATAAAAAATACAAAATAAATAGAAGATAAAATAAAAAAAAGTCCTTAATGGAAACTGCAATATAAGGGCAAATCCGCTAAACAGTGGATCTAGGTGACAATGTCCAGTGGTCTTAACTTGATATAGTCCAAATATGGTGAATAACATACATAAATATTATGAACCGAAAAATAAAATCGAAGTAAATAACAGCCAATGCAATATAGTCCAATAATGTATCAGCTAGAAGCCGTTGCTGGCTTTTCTTTGTATGTGTTGGTTCTAAGAGAAGATTACATACGGGAAAACATACAAAGAAAAGCCAGGAACGGGAAGTATTATAGCGGCTCTTTATAGGATCTTAATTTAGTAACGATCGGTTGAAGATCACAAGATCACGTAATGCATAAGGCTGCATCTATGTCTCTGGACAACAAAGTGGAACACAAGCCAATGAGCAGAGACTGATTTCCCTACTGTCACACTCCCCAAGCGTAACACTCCCTTTTTTTCATTTATCTTCTATTTATTTTGTGTTTTTTGTATTATTTTCATTTAAATGCACCTATACCCACTCCTGGTCGTTACTTGAGATTTTTTTTTTCTCCTGTGTTTTTATCTGCATTCTTCACCTTTGGGTGGGAGCTTTTAGCTTATTAGTAGTAGTAGGTATAAATTGCATACATTTTATCTTATTTCATTATTTGTACTCTATTTGTATTTTATTTGTGTTGCCCTATCCCTTTGATTTGTTCCCCCTTTTTTTTTATTGATTTTATAGATTTTATCTATCCTTGCCCCTATAGTACCCTGCTCTTATTATTGTGTGCCTTTCAATATTCCCTATTCTGATTACTTAGGGGTTTTAAAGGGACACTATAGTCACCAGAACAACTACAGCTTATTGAATTTGTTCTGGTGAGTAGAATCATTACCTTCAGGCTTTTTGCTGTAAACACTGTCTTTTCAGAGAAAATGCAGTGTTTACATTACAGGATAGTGATAACTTCACTGGCCACTCCTCAGATAGCTGTTAGAGATCCTTCCTGCGTCATGGCTGCCTAAAATGCATCCAAACATTCAGTGTCTCCTCCCTCTGCATGCAGACACTGAACTTTCCTCATTGAATTGAATTGATTCAATTCACCCCTATGAGGAGATGCTGATTGGCCAGGGCTCTGTTTGAATCATGCTGGCTCTGCCCCTGATCTTCCTCCTTGTCAGTCTAAGCCATTCCTATGGCGAAGCACTGTGATTGGATCAGGCTACCACTTCTGCTGATGTCAGCAGACTGTTTGTTTTTCTGGGTCAAACAGCATGCAGAGTTACAGTTTCAGGCTTGAATACAGTAAGATTTTTACTATATATATATATATATATATATATATATATATATATGGAGGCATGAGGGGGCCCAGGGGGGCTAGATGGTGGTTTTAACACTATAAGGTCAGGCATACATGTTTGTGTTCCTGACCCTATAGTGATCCTTTAACCCCTTAAGCAGTGGCGTACACATGACCCATGGGGCCCCGGTGCGAAAATTGATCCGTGCCCCCCCCCCCCAGGCGCGCGGGCCAGGCCGCAACACATGGCGGTGGGCACCTGGTCGCAGGGGTTACAGGGCTGCGACCCCTGCGACCGCGGTATGTACGCCAGTGCATGCAGATGCACACACACTTAAAGGACCACTCTGGGCACCCAGACCACTTCAGCTTAATGAAGTGGTCTGGGTGCCAGGTCGAGCTAGGGTTAACCCATTTTTTCATAAACATAGCAGTTTCAGAGAAACTGCTATGTTTATGAATGGGTTAAGCCTTCCCCTATTTCCTCTAGCAGCTGTCTCATTGACAGCCGCTAGAGGCGCTTGCGTGCTTCTCACTGTGATTTTCACGGTGAGAGCACGCCAGCGTCCATAGGAAAGCATTATGAATGCTTTCCTATGTGACCGGCTGAATGCGCGCGCAGCTCTTGCCGCGCGTGCGCATTCAGCCGACGGGGAGGAGAGAAGGAGGATTGGAGGAGGAGAGCTCCCCGCCCAGCGCTGGAAAAAGGTAAGTTTAACCCCTTTTCCCCTTTCCAGAGCCGGGCGGGAGGGGGTCCCTGAGGGTGAGGGCACCCTCAGGGCACTATAGTGCCAGGAAAACGAGTATGTTTTCCTGGCACTATAGTGGTCCTTTAAAGGACCACTACAGACACCCAGATCACATCAGCTCAATGAAGTTGTCTGGGTGTCAGGTCCCTCTAGTTTTAAACCTGCAGCTGAAAACATAGCAGTTTCAGAGAAACTGCTATGTTTCACTGAGGGTTAATCCAGCCTCTAGTGGCTGTCTCACGGACAGCCGCTAGAGGAGCACACTGAGCGTCCATAGGAAAGCATTGAGTAATGCTTTCCTATGGGCGGTTTGAATGCGTGCGCGGTCGCATTCGGAGCTGAGAGGCTGAGGGATCCTCAGCGCCAAGGGAGTCCGGCGCTGGAGAAAGGTAAGTGCTGAAGACACACACACACTTACAGACGCATACACACTAGCTAACAGACACACACATTTACTGACAGAGACACAGTCAGCAACAGACATACATACACACTCACTTACAAAACATACACTCTCATTGACAAACATACACTCACTAACAGACATCAAACAGACTCACTAACACACACACACACAGTAAGACACACACAGTAACACACTCACTGACACTCACTAGCAGACACACACACTAACACTCACTCTAACACTCACACTAACACTCACTAGCAGACACACACACTAACACTCACACACTCACACTAACACTGACACACACACTAACACTCACACTAACACTCACTAGCAGACACACACTAACACTCACACACACTAACACTCACTAGCAGACACACACACTAACACTCACACACACTCAAACACTAACACTAGTTTTGTTTTTTGTTTTTTAAATTTAATCCCCCCAGCCTCCTTACCTTTTGGGGTGCTGGGGGGATTCCCTGGGGTCCAGTGGCGCTGCTGGGCTCCTGGGCGGGTGGCCGGTCGGGCAGGCAGGCGGGCGCGCGAGGGAGCACTCAGTGCTTCCTCTTCAGCTCCCTTGCGCGCTGCGTAGGGATGCCGGAGCCGGAAGATGACGTCATCTTCCGGCTCCGGTATCAGTGCGGTGCGCGAGGGAGCTGAAGAGGAAGCACTGAGTGCTCCCTCGTGCGCCCGCCTGCCTGCCCGACCGGCCACCCGCCTTCCGGGTGTCAGCAGGGCCAGCCTCGGGGGGCCCTGGGGTGGTCGGATCCTGGGCCCCTTAGGGGAAGAGGCTGGCCCTGTGGGTACACACTGCCCTTAAGGACCAAACTTCTGGAATAAAAAGGAATCATGACATGTCACAGATGTCATGTGTCCTTAAGGGGTTAATATGCCCTCTCAGTTTTCTACCTTTCAACAAAATGTGTCAAGGTGGAGCGGGAAAAGGGCCATTCACATGATCTACATGATCAAATTGTCCTACTTCCCTTTTTAACACCAATCGGTGCTCTGGCCCAAGCAACTGCACAACGACATCTCATACTGTCACTTTAGTTCCTGCATACTTCACAATGTGAAGCAGTGTAGCTCCATTTTACGCATTTTACGCTTTTTATTCTTAACTGATGCAAAAAAGAAAGTGACAAATCTTACCATCCAAATGTTTATTTTCATTCCTGCAATTTTCAATGGATCCATTTTCACAAACTATAAATAATTGACAAAATATAGGTATAAAACCCAACAAACTAGCATTTAAGGTAAACAGTTACACGTAAAAGGTTGGTTTGTGTTGAAGCTCATAGAATTTTCTTTCATAATTTAAAGAGAAGCTGTTAGTTTGCCTTTCTACACCGTAAACACTAATGAGGTGCAGCGAAGGTTCACAGTTGTAGGTACTGGCTCTGCCATAGTTCTAGCGTTAGCCATCTTCCATATGTGAGTATTTGTGAATTTCTACAAAGGCATTGGCCACTTAGACAGAAGTCGGTGTAACCATTCTCAGCAGATAACCCACTAGAAATAGAAACAGCTCTAATAGTATAGAGGTAATAAAAATCATTTGAATTACTTTATTCACTAAACACAAACAAAACGTGAAAAAATGTGGAAAAAGGCGATCATGAAAAATTTATAAAAAACAAGGGGAAATAATAGATAGCCACCCAGATATGTCTCATATACATATATTCCCTATTCAATTGCATCATCACTAAACTATCTGTGAATAATGATAGTAACAATACAGATAACCAGTTAGTTCAAAAAACTGTAATCCCAACTGACAGCTACAGAGTATCAAAGACAATATGATCTCAGTAGTCAAGATACAAATGGAACATAAATCCAGAAAGATGGAAGATGGGAATAGGTGCTATGTTCATATAGACACAAATACTGGGCTAAATATACTACTACATGAATAACAGGAGCAAGGAGGGTAAAAAACCATATATAGTAGCCCCCTACCCTAGTTAATCACAGTAGTGCCCAGTAGAACACAGGAAGGATAACACCCTACCTCAGATAAACTATGGGGAGGTATACCCCTAAGAATAGAGGTAGTGGTGGTAGAAAGCCTGGATACAGCAGTAACAAGTTCTCAGCAAAAAATGCATAAAGTAAAGCCAGTGAGGACAGGGTATCTGGGATAATTATAGAAAAAGTATAGATGGCAACTGAATTCTTCAGTAATACCGTGTTAAAATTACCCATAAGTCAGGTTAACAGCATACCACTGTGAAATCCTATTAAGATACCCAACTCAGTAAAGTGTATTGTCCTAAACAGATAGATCAAGAGGTAGCCGTAGGTAAGAATCTACTACCTTAAAGGGCATAGCCCTGAGAATAACCTGCCTAGAGGAAATGAGCAGGCAAACCCAGGTTAAAGCACTATCTATCAAGCTGCTTCGAGGCAGCTCTAAAAATCCCCACTAAAATCAATCACTTAGTATGGCGTCCTACTCGACGCACGTTTCGGCGCTACCCTGCGCCTTTGTCAAGAGTAAATGGCTGGGAAGAAAACACTGGGTAATTACATACATAGACTCCGCCCCTCCACTGATGTCATTTAACCAATCGGTTTTCGAGACGTCAGTATCTTAGGATAATTGAAACAAGTACTGCTCCGATGGGCCGACACGCACCCTTATTAAAATCTCCGGCATGTCAAAATTAACCCAATACGAGAATGGGAACTGAATCAGTTGGGACGAGCTTGGTGGGGGTGGGGGGAGGGGGGGGTGTCAGACTTTTATGGACTTTGGGCAAGCAGTAAAAGGTTGCTATCTTTGGGTGACGATTAATTGTGAATTTCTCCTTTGATACTGTCAGCAAGCACGTGACCACGTGGACTGCCGAGAACTGCATCATAGGAATTGATGATTTGCATTGTATGTCAGCCTGTGCTTTAAGATCCTTGCATATAATACAAATCCAAAACACACAACTAAAACTTGTTAGCTATTGCTAGAACACAACTAAAACTTGTTAGCTAAAATGCAAAGTTCCCCTTTCATGTTTTTGTATCTTAAGCCATCTATAAACTGAAAGATCCCAAGGTTTTGCCTTAAGAAAATGTCTCAGACACTTCGCTGTCTGTTGTTAAAAAAATTACAAATTAAAAATACCTCCATATATTACACTGCAGCTGTCAAAAGCTTTTGCCAAACATTTGTTGTGTTCTTGGATGGCAAAGATTTATTAAATGAGAACTGTATTTTGCTACATCTTACGTAAAATAACTGAAAAGGCGGTATAAAATGCCGACCTGCACTTTATATCAGGATTGTATGAGAGTGCCTTTCATATTGTGAATAAAAATATGGAAATTGAAACATCTCTATTTTATACAAACTTCAGATGGCTTTGAAGAATCAGCCATCACACAAACAAAATCCACAATTGCTCTAAATGTAACTGTATCCCTATTATGTTTACTTATCTAATGAAAGTAACGAAAATATGTTTGTGAGTTCTGAAAAGTGATCACTTATCTCACTACAGTAGTTCTGAAGCTTGGAGTGTTCCTTTAACACAAGTTATCAGCATAAATTAATGTGTAAACATACCCCTTTAAAATAAATATATTTGGGACTAAGCTTTTTTAAAGTCTCACATTGGTATCCCAACAACCTAAATCTAATATTTAAAATCTGGCTTTATGTTCAGAATGTTAAAAAAATAATGGAATAAACTAATATTGTATAAAAATGGTTTGTTGAAAACAATGGTCGGCTGTAATTATGAGGCCCTGCCAAGAGTTTGCACATATCTCTCCATGCAGATATTACCTGTTCCTGAGTCCAGTATGTAGCTTGGCTCTTCTGATTTTATGTGGTTCGTAATACACTCACTGGTTTCATCTGAATGAAATGTGTGCTCTAAAAAGGATGGGTTTGAGACCGTGTTAAAATATATATATAAAAATAGCTATTGGTATATAATAAGGAGTCCTAAAAACAATTCCCACTAAATATATAAAAATATACTCATTCTTAAAGGAACACTCCAATGGAAGAAAAAAAACTTTTAATTTTTTTAGATTAAAGCCCTAATAAAAACATGCATGCATTTACTGCTACTTTTTTTCATTGGGGATATATCTAAAACAGCTTGAAAAAAAGCTATAGATTTATTTGTTTGCAGCTTTGCAAGCCCTCTTCTTCTAAGCCCGCCCAGACTTTCTGTGGCTGTCCAATCACAGACTTCCCAATGCAGCTCAATGAGAAATCTTTACAAGGTAGGTGCTCTGAGCAATTGAAATATGGGTTTAACAACATTACTATATAAAATGAAAAAGAGACTACACACTCTTCAGCAAGTGTGTTCCTTTACTATGTATTTATTTAATGCTCCATGAATATCTCTTGTGATGAGATTGATAGGAATCTGAATCCAAAACATCCATCTATTTGGGAAAAAGCTTAATTAAATATCATAAACTTAACAAAAGAATAAGTTCTACTTACGTACCAAATAATGGAATACTGAAAATAAACTAGATCTAATAAAAGATGTCCAGTGAGCAGCTCCAGTTCACTTTAATATTTTGGTGTTCACGTTTCAGCAGGATACTGTACAGTAAGTTTAGAGCAGCTAAAACTACTAATGATGTGGCTGTGTTAAACAGATCTAGCAAGATATCACTATTTTCCTACTTAAATAAATGCTGAGTTATAGTTTCTTACTATAGACTTATAGAGGGAGTTGTGGTGGACTGAAAAATTCCACAGTTTCCTGTTCAGCATAAAAATTTGCTTATTTATTTTCTATACTGTAAGGATAGTAACTGAGCCTCACTATATTGAACATTTTCTTTTGTTCCAATTAGACAAACGACTTTGAATTTAGTCTACAAATGACCACATCATGAGAAATATTTAGGGAAAATTGAAGAGACTTCCACATCAAAACTACCTCTTTCATTTTACCACATTAATATTAATTTTTTTGTGATATTGCTATACTTATTGTGCTTTTTATATGTAGTGACTCATATCTTTTGGCTTTCAATGCTTTGACTTGCATTGCTGCTTCATAAAAAAAAATTTATTATTCATCTCTTTCACTGATCAGTTGACATTATTAAAGGGACACTGTAGGCACCCAGACCACTTCAGCTCATTGAAGTGGTCTGGGTGCAATGTTCCATGTCCCTTAACCCTACAGTGGTAATTATTGCAGTTTCTGAGAAACTGCAATAACTACCTTGAAGGGTTAACTCCTCCTCAGGTGGCGGTCTACCAGACAGACACTAGGGGGACTTCTGGGTGCTTAGACTTAGACTTTTGGTCATCTAAATGATGCTGGACATCCTCAAACTATGCGCGAGGACTTTCAGCATCATCGGAATCCCCATAGGAAAGCATTGATTAATGATTAATGCCTTCCTAAGGGGAAATCCTAATGTCTGCCCCGCCAGCAGTGTGGGGGGAGCCTGACCCAGCACTGAGTAAAACGCTTCAGGTAAGTGATTGAAGGGTTTTAACCCCTTCAGCGCTGCGGGAGGGGGGCACTGTAGGATTCTATAGTGCCAGGAAAACGGCTTTGATTTTCTGGCACTATAGAATCCCTTTAACTATTTTATCTTTAACCTTTTCATTTTCAATTGATTTTTTTAAATTGAATTTTCAATCATTTGTGTCAGTTAAAAAATCGTGGAAAGTTCCAGTACAATTCTATTAGTATAAGTGTTCAGTTTGAACAAAAACATGTTTTATTTTTTCACATACAAGTAACCCAATTTACTGATTACCTCAACATTCAATACAGAGAAATGTATCAATAACGAAGTGAAGTAAGGTCCTTGTGGTAATGAGAACCTTGTGTTTCTGAAAATAATACTAGATCAGGCTTTGTGAACCATGGTTAAGCTAATAGGGAAATATTGGCATTTATTTCTTATGGTCTGTCAGACATCTGTACCTGGAACAGTGATCTGTATTATATCTTGATCTTCAGGTTCCATCTTTATATGTTTTACACCATTCTGCTCGCCCGAAGTCCCTGCTGTACGACAATAAACACATTCTTATTAAAATGAATGAAAACAGAAGCAGGAAAGACACATGCACACAGCTAAAATATCCAGACCCAACTGTCTCAAATGCTTTCAATTTAATTTCTGGGGTAAATCCATTTATTCATTTATTGAACGTCTAAACAAACACACTTTTTATTCTTACAATTTAACTTAGAAAGAAAAGGAGGCCATCTTTGATAAATAACACCACTGTGGTAATTGAAACTCTGATAAACAAGGAGAAGTTGTCATCTTAGATCACTCCTACTGCAGACAAGAACAATAAAACTTACATTTCACTTGACTGCAATCCAGTTTGTAGTTTTAAGAGTGATTTATCACATTTAATAAATTATAACTTAGAATTGGTGTTTTCATTTAATATTTTTCACCATCTCACTAGGGTTCATAAAGCATCTGCAGACTTGTAGTCTTGGGGATTGGATACTCGGAAAAGAAGTTGGAACAGAGAGATAGATTTTGCAGCCATTCATTACTATTTACTTAAAGTTACAAAACGTTCCACTCATCACAGATAAATCATAACCTGTTTCTTTTGGCATTTGATGTCACTTCCCCTATCCTCCAGCATTCCACACAATCTGGGACTGAAAGCACTACTTTTCACTTCTAACATTATCTAATTATTCTACAACAGTTTATTTTTAATTGGGAGTCTGTGTAATTTGAGTTAGATTTCGAATGACGCACAATTGTTTTATGTTTGATGTGGTTTACTATTTCCACACGTATAGTGATACTACACGGGTGGATTTGACCCCTTCTGTGTCTTTCTCTTGGTTGGTGAAACAGTTTTCTCAACTATCAGGGTTATTTACTAAAGTAAGAATTTAAAGTGAATTTATGATTTAAGGCCAGAGTAGTCGAACTTAAAGCGTAGCTGATTTAGAGTATTTCTGCAGCTATTTTTAACTTGAATTCACACTGATTTCTCACTTTAGTGACACCCTGTATGAAGATGCCAAAATGCCATTTTCTTATGGCTTAAAAAACGGTTATACTGTTAAACCATTTCAGACACTTCACACTTGCAAAACACAAAGAGGACTTATGGAACAGAAACAAAATTAAGGTCATTTTTTAAAGGAAAACTATGTTGTCAGGAATACAAATGTGTATTCCTGACACAATATTGCTGGTGTGGCTGTTTAAGTGACCGACCCTGCTCCGATCACGCTAAAAAGGTGAATTCACTCACCTTTTTCCCATGCTGCATTGGCCTTGCCATGGCTGATCCCACCTCCATGGCTGAGATCATCTTAATGAACTCAACCAGTCTAATGCTTTCCAATAGGAAAGCATTAGGAGGCTATTGCTGTGCTACGCCAATCAGCATCTCCCCATGTAAATGTACTTGATAAGTGAGGTAAGGGTGATACCCAAGTACATTAATACAACATTTCTGGAGCTCCGCAAAACATATTACCGCATTTCCGACCAGCATCGGCTGCAGGGGAAGGAGAGGTACACGCCGATGCCATTTTTCAGTAACTGGGCGCGAAACAAAAACGCTTTCGTGGCCTGGTGGGACTTAGACTAGCTTTCACCCGTTCCTCGGCAGGCACTGCCCCAAGAGCCGGAGGAAGAAGACCCACAAATCTCAAGTGCACACAACCCAGGAGTCACAGGATATCGGCACACTGCTCCAACACACGCCCAAGCACAGGGTGCTGGAGCAGGCCGGGACTGAGGCCACAACCCTCAAGAGGCAGGTGGAGTGAGTGAGGATGCCCCAGGGTCACCCAAAGACAGGCACCCAACCACAAACGCCCCAGCCAACAGGGACCCTGCAACAAAACAGGACATAGACAACCTCTCTGTCAAAATCCAGCAGCTATTTGCAGCCAACCTAGCCGCGGTGCGGACCGAGGTACAAACGGTCACCACTCACGTTCAGACCACAGAAACTGACAGAGCAGACCTGCAACACAACCTTCTGGCAGTGGGAGACACGGTCAAGCAGCTACAGGCGCACCACTCTGCCCTGACATTAAGAGTGGAAACCCTGGATGAAAGATCCCGCCAAAAAAATCTAAAGATTAGAGGTGTCTCAGACACAGTGACCACGGAAGAGTTACCGCATTTTATTAGGCGAATGGTGACTTCATTACTCCCAGCAAAACAGGCCAAGCAATTTACCAACGACGGAGCTTACCGTATCGCCAAGTCTCCCAAAGCGCCACCCACTGCCTCAAGGGACATAATATTACGCTGCGGGACGAGACAAGATAAACTATATGGTCAAGTTACACCCCATGACAACCCTAAAGGCCACTAGTACCTGACAGCAAGCAACAATGATGAGCCCTGCATACCTGATGACAAGCTGATATAGAAATCTGTTGTGTGAGGTATTGTTCTTATTGTATGCAACCTAGTCTAATATAACAAAAATACAGGTGATCATACTGAGTCTATAAAGCTAAAAGAATGTAGCCACTGAAAACTAAACATGTAAACGTTTTAACAAATACGTCATTCTGCTTCACCTGCAAAAATAAAGAATTATAAAAAAAAAAGAAACCCATGTCTTTAAGGGTACCTGGTTCATATTCATCCGAAACACTGCTCTTTGAAGACCTATATAGAAAACAAAAGAAAAAAAAATATCAGAATTTTATATTAATAGAAATATGGAAAAGATCATTTGAATCTACTAATTATTTATTCGATCAGCAAGTTAAATGCTTGCTAAATTTGTTTTGGCTTCAGCACTAAGCGTTATGTACTAATCAAACAAAGTTTTTCTCAGGTTTCACAAATATACAACCATAACAACTAATTAAAACTATTTTAGCAAGTTGGCTTATGTCAAGTTAAATACACTATGTGCTCTTTTTTTTTTTTTATAATTCTTTATTTTTGGTGCAAAAAGACTTTACAAGCATACCTGTGTAGCCACAACAGCTGACACAGGCAGGTTAATGCAGACACGTCCATGGCATGATACATTTGCACATTTTTGTTAAATAAGAATATAACAGGTTATTATACATTGCTTATTTGAAATAGCGTGCTAAAGTAGTCAAGCATAGTAATAGGTAAATGTGTGATTGGTATTCCGTTTTGTCAGTTTGGTATGATGCTAACATGCTCTGGGCCTGAGCTAACCTCCTTAATTTAACTAATGTGCTATACATTCAATGTATTTAACTAGTTATTCAAGAATACATTTGTGATAGTCTGAACGAATGATCTATAAGAGAGACATCCTGACATGGGCTAACAAAGACGTGTAACAAAATAAAGAGAGTAAGTGTCATTAAATAATGTACTTGGCCAATCGAAGCATATATATAGAAAAATAACAGAAGAGAAAAACTGTTTCTTTCTTATGCGAGCAAGTCACTAATAGGTGAGTTACGCACAGCTTTGTGATAAATACCATACTGAGTGATGCATTTATATGTAAAATTACGTTAGGAATGTTTTCCAACTTGGGTGATTTTAATTGGTGGTGCGACCGCGCAAGCCGCGAATTTAAGTGGCCTTACATAGCGGTAGTCTAATTTGCCAGTCCAATTGTTAAGGGCACATCTTTGTTAAAAAGGAAAGAAAAAAGATAAACTTATTAATACCAGTGTAATCGTAAAGTAGCCCTCTTGTCTATATGTCTATTTTATGCTGAGCTGACCATAGTGACGTTTCTTTAGTCAGTGCTCTAGATGTCTAATTAGGTTGCTCCATGGGCAGGGTCAGTTAGTAAGCACTAGACAATAAACACTGACCTACTTTTGAGATCGATCTTTGGACTGTGGAGCAATGGCTGTCATTTAAGGAGTGTTATAGGCTGAGTACCCAGGAGGCCTGTGGGGCAGGCCAAACCACCGTAGCGGTTATGATATATCTCGCTATATGCACCATGTGCTCTTTTAACACACTATTTTGTGCTAGTAATAGTTGTTATGTCTACCAGACAGCTACTAGAGGCATGTCCTGGAGTTTCACAGAATTTGACTCTGTGAAACTAAGCTGGGTGTCCTCACATTTTGCATGAGGAAGTCCAACGTGTTGAAATTCCCATGGGAAAGGATTGAGGCAATGCATTAGGAAGGCCTAATGTGTGTGTGGTGCTTGCCGCACATGCGAATTAGATCCCTCTATCAGCTGATGTCGGAAGAGGGCAATCCAGCACCGAAGGATAATGGAGCTGAAAACGGGTACGTGTAAAAAGGGTTTTGAACACTTTATTTGCCATGGGGAGGAGGGGGCAGAGGGCACTATCATTTTAGGAATATAGTTTTGTACTCCTGACACTATAGTTTTTATATAACGTGCAACCAAAAAGTAGACTGTCATTATGCGAAGTCATGTAACAAAATAATCAGTCTGTATTTAATTGTACACCTTTTTACTTTTTTAAATTACATTTAAATGTAAAACATTTAAAGAAATATCTTTAGAAACAAGACACACTATGTGCTTTTGCAAGTCTATTTCTGGCTGTTTTCATGTGTAAGGCTGTGGAATTTGAAAAAAAAAAAAAGCTTGCGTAATAATTAAAAAAAGGTCCACTATACAGGTCCACTCTTGGCACCAACACAACTTAAGTGCATTTGATAGGTTTAGGTGTTACACTCACGCTGTGTTTTTCCCTACAATCTTATTAGAAAGTTTGACAGCATTCTGAAGTGAAAATCTACCTTTAGCCATGCTCCCTCATTTTTCAAAATCAACTTCTATATCCGGCATATTCTGAGTAAGCACGCAGCTTAGCTATTCAACTATTAAAAGTACTGAAAGAACATACTATCTCAACCATTGAGAGATCAGTGTGAGCTGAGCAGATGACATCACGCATCCACACAGCCGATCACCCTAATCTTATTTTTTCTCTTTCCTTTTGGATCTTCTTAGAAAATATTTTAAGAGAATAAGAGTACAGTGATTGGCTGTTGGGAAGAAGAGCTCAGCATTTCTCAAAGGCTGAGCTACACTTTCTACCTGCCAATTAGAAAGATGTTTTGTGAAATGAGGCAGCATGACTATAAAGGCACGGTTATGCTGTAGAAAGAAGCAAAGCATTTTAATTTTTTTAAGGAACACTCAAAAGTTGTTGTTTTTTTTTTTAAGTAAACACCAACCTGCCCCCAATGAATGAGGAGATGGATCCATGGATGTCCAGAGGTGTCACCTGCTGCGTTTCACTGGAGGGCTCCTCTCCCAGGGTAGCGTCTGATTTTGAGGCATCTTGAGAAAATTTAGCACCTAATTATAGTTACACAGCACATTTTGAATTCAGTGTTAAATACTAATATTTCAAAATGATTCATAATATTTCATGGTATGTTAAGGATGTATACTAAGGACACATCTACTGCAGATCAAACCAGTCCTTGAGGTTTTAGGAATTACCTCATTATATTCCAATGAAGACATAGATGAAATGTGGGTCATTAATGGCCCTTTAATAACAGTTCTGTAAAGATCTGCTGCAGATCAGTCATCAGTACAGAGAAATTCTATACAAAGTGATTTACTAAAGTAAGAAGCAGCCAAACCTGGAAGCATAGCTGACTTAGAGAATTGCTCTTTGAATTTTCACTCCAGAAGTATTTATTTATTAGTGTGAATAACGATTGGTTAAAACATACACTATTATACAAGAGGACCATTTTACTGATCGTTGATAACAAGAAAATACAGCAGTATTAAGGAGCATTGGATTGACCATCGGTGGTCATGCCTCCTCTGTGATGGTATGGGAGGCGAGCAACGCCAATGATTCATCGTCTGGAAACCGGTAAGTAAACCTTTAGTTTTAAAATGTTCATGGCAAAGGGTGGGGGGGAGGGAGGGCTGAAAAAGAGTAGGAACAGGAAAACTATAGCATTAGGAAAACATGCTACAGTGTTCCTGTAAAGGAAACCTGTCTGTCATATATGTAAAATTACATTATTTCTGTCAATAAAAAAAGTTAACACTTACCTTCAAAAATTCTCTGATCAAACATACTGCAAAAAGAAAGTTATAATTCAAATTACAAATCAGTAGAATGATAGAATAAAGTATTCATTTGAATAGTTTGTATTTTCAAAATGTTACCTTTTGATAACAAAGTGGATGTTGTGTCTTTCTTCTAGGATTCTCTTAAGTTTGGGAACTCCGTAGGTGCAAGGCCTTTTGAAAGGAATTTTGTCAGGTATTCCTATGATTTCTACTGCTTCTGGGTGACATGCGATCTTACGGTATGGAACAGGGACCATGTGATCAAGCCCTAAAGCTTCAGCTGGGGTAGAAGAATATTATTGTGAATCAGTGGGATCACTTCTTGGATAATTGCTAACAATATAAAACAGTATGCCTGCTATAGAACAGTCTGTTCTTTATTAAACTGAACATTGGTAGTTTTAGGTCCTATGTACAGTTTAAGATGAAGAGAGTATCAGAGTATCAGGTTATGGGTTAAACAAGGTAGTCTAGCAAGGATGGGTGTAGCAGAAGGTCTGGGCCCCAGGTCTCTCTTCCCTGCTCTATTTTTGATTCTGATGCACCTAGTAGTCAATAAAGTGCCTGCATCTAATGTTATCTGAGAACTCCCTCAGACAACCGAACAGAGTTTGCATGAGGGAGCATGCAATCTTCTAATCCTCTGAAAGACAGATCCGGATTTCTCACCTACAGAGTCCAGACCTTCTGCCCTCCTATACCTGTCCTGCAAGGGGAAGACATGTAAAAGAGGTAAATTACTGACATTCTTATTCACAGGTCAATCCTGCCATATGGATACATTCTTCAGACAGAAGTAATTTGACAACATGACAGGAGGTTATCTTCCTTAACTAACTCCAAATAGCAGCAAAGAATAACACACAGAAACAGTCATCCAAGAAAAAACTGAATGTGTACAGTTGGGTGTACTGAGTAGCCACCTCCTCTTTCTTTGCTTTTCCAACAGGACACAGATCAGGGTGCTGCTTTCCTCTGCCGGAAGTGATCTTACTGGATAATGATATTATAATTCTATGGTTCGTGTATGGTTCACTCTCTTTGGTCTGTCCATCTACTGTTTATATTATTAGCCTTTTTTCTTTAATGTGCCCACAATGCAATCCATTGGAAACATGTTTCATTCCACATTCTCTCACTATCCAGGGGGTTTCTGATGTGTGTTCCATAGACATAGAAACATAGAATGTAACGGCAGATAGAACCATTCGGCCCATATAGTAAGAGTTTCCACTGCAAACCGGGAGCCTAGTGCCTCTCTCAGATGCCTTTTCCCATTTCCGCTCAGCACTAGCCATTCACACAGCCGCAAGAGTTTGGCTGCCATCTTGGTTGCACGGTCGCGGATACCAACATTCGTCTCCAAACTGTGCCAAATGCATACAGAGTGCGGGAGCTGTCTGCTGTCTACTAGTTGCTGGGGAGTATTTAATCAGTTCCACAAGCGAGGGTTATCACGTAATATATACCATCCCTGCTCAGCAGAAAGGGCAATACATGATCACCTGGCAAGATCTATGCCTCTATGGCTTGGGAAATCTCTGGGGAAAGAAAGCAAAATAGACTGTGTGCAAAGTGTCCAAGACCAGTTCTACCAGATAAAGTTACCCAGACACCTATATTTGACCCGCTAATGCTTACCTTTATGGGTTGAGCCCTTCGTAAGGGAATAGTGAGGGCCTCAAACTATATTTGGCAAACTTTTTTTCAGAAGCAGGTTCCTTCACTTCAGACATGGTGAAATCCTAGGCCCACAGTTTGAGGGAATTGGCATAAAGAAGTTTCAGACTTCTGTCTGTCCCACAACATTTCCCTAACAAAAGGGTATTTACCTAGGGAGATGAATTACACAGCAGAATGGTTCCCCAGACACTGAAGGGATTCAAGCGATTTGATGCTCAAATTGTTCTCCCAACTATCCAATCTCAGTGGTCAATAGATCATTTTGCATCCTGCAACAACATTCAAGTACAGAAATTTAACAGCTGGCTTCCGTATCCGGACAGCAAGGCGGATGTGGCCACCACACAGGACTTATTAATTTCCCCCATTTGCAGTGATAGCGAAGGTAATTCGTCAACTCCATGTCCAACAAGCAACCATTCTATTGATTGCAGATTCAACCATGGTGTCCAGATGTTGGAATAATCTTGCAAGGATCCCATTCTGCATTCTAAGAGGATACCTTTCTGATTTTTTATTTTTGCCCATCTTCTCATGACACCTTTTTCTATTTTACCGTAGGGTTAAAAAAGCTAAATACGCAGCTTCCGATCATGTTCTAAAATGGAATGCTATCCTAGCTCTAGTGTACATATAATCTTAATTTTAGTATATTAAAGTATATTCCAACCCATCTATACCCTTTCTGATTTGCCGTGTTATATTTTATTAAGACCTCTCTATTGCATTATTATGTTGGGTCTATGTATTATATGTTCCATTAATACAGTAGTGCTCTTACATAAATTTTAATGATTATCAGTCACTTCTTTCTTTGTTTTTGAAATATTGCCTATAATATACATACAGTCAGGTCCATAAATATTGGTACATTGACACAATTCTAATCGTTTTGGCTCTATACACCAACACAATGGGTTTGAAATGAAACAAACAAGGTGTGCTTTCACTGCAGACTTTCAGCTTTAATTTGAGGGTATTTACATCCAAATCAGGTGAACGGTGTAGGAATTACAACAGTTTTTATATGTGCCTCCCACTTTAATGGACCAAAAGTAATGGGACAGATTAACAGTCATAAATCAAACTTTCACTTTTTAATACATGGTTGCAAATCCTTTGCAGTCCATTACAGCCTGAAGTCTGGAACGCATAGACATCACCAGACGCTGGGTTTCATCCCTGGTGATGCTCTGCCAGGCCTCTACTGCAACTGGCTTCAGTTCCTGCTTGTTCTTGGGGCATTTTCCCTTCCGTTTTGTCTTCATCAAGTGAAATGCATGCTCAATCGGATTCAGGTCAGGTGATTGACTTGGCCATTGCATAACATTCCACTTCTTTCCCTTAAAAAACTCTTTGGTTGCTTTTGCAGTATGCTTCGGGTCATTGTCCATCTGCACTGTGAAGCGCCGTCCAATGAGTTCTGAAGCATTTGGCTGAATATGAGCAGATAATATTGCCCGAAACACTTCAGAATTCATCTTGCTGCTTTTGTCAGCAGTCACATCATCAATAAATACAAGAGAACCAGTTCCATTGGCAGCCACACATGCCCACGCCATGACACTACCATCACCATGCTTCACTGATGAGGTGGTATGCTTTGGATCATGAGCAGTTCCTTTCCTTCTCCATACTCTTCTCTTCCCATCACTCTGGTACAAGTTGATCTTAGTCTCATCTTTCCATAGGATGTTATTCCAGAACTGTGAAGGCTTTTTAAGGTGTTGTTTAGCAAACTCTAATCTGGCCTTCCTGTTTTTGAGGCTCACCAATGGTTTACATCTTGTGGTGAACCCTCTGTATTCACTCTGGTGAAGTCTTCTCTTGATTGTTGACTTTGACACACATACACCTACCTCCTGGAGAGTGTTCTTGATCTGGCCAACTGTTGTGAAGGGTGTTTTCTTCACCAGGGAAAGAATTCTTCGGTCATCCACCACAGTTGTTTTCCGTGGTCTTCCAGATCTTTTGGTGTTGCTGAGCTCACCGGTGCGTTCTTTCTTTTTAAGGATGCTCCAAACAGTTGATTTGGCCACACCTAATGTTTTTGCTATCTCTCTGATGGGTTTGTTTTGTTTTTTCAGCCTAATGATCGCTTGCTTCACTGATAGTGACAGCTCTTTGGATCTCATATTGAGAGTTGACAGCAACAGATTCCAAATGCAAATAGATCACTTAAAATGAACTCTGGACCTTTTATCTGCTCCTTGTAAATGGGATAATGAGGGAATAACACACACCTGGCCATGGAACAGCTGAGCAGCCAATTGTCCTATTACTTTTTGTCTCTTGAAAAGTGGGAAGCACATTTACAAACTGTTGTAATTCCTACACCGTTCACCTGATTTGGATGTAAATACCCTCAAATTAAAGCTGAAAGTCTGCAGTTAAAGCACATCTTGTCCATTTCATTTCAAATCCATTGTGGTGGTGTATAGAGCCAAAAAGATTAGAATTGTGTCGATGTCCCAATATTTATGTACCTGACTGTATATACATTTATGTATTAAATTATTATACTAGCATTGTAGTTGTCTTTCTGTTTGTTTCAGTTTGATACTTTGTATGGAAATCCACTTGACTTTCTGTTCTTCTCTCACTGAGTTCCAGGGAGGGCAGTGATTTTTAATTGCTGACTTTGAATTTCTTCAGACATCTGTCCTTGTGTTTCCTGTCCACTGTGTACTCCGATTACATTGGTTTTGCTTTTATCTGATTGGTTATTTATTTTTGTGTGTTTTGCTTTGCTGCTATTTGGAGTTGGTAAAAGAAGATAAACAAACATTTTGCTAGAATTAAGATTATAAGTACACTAAACCTACCATACTCGTCAATTGTTCCTCAATGTTCATGCAATACTCAAGAGGATGTCACATTCTCAAACATATTTTTTTTGCAAATCTTAAAACACCTTTACCCATTCCTAATCAGAACAACAAATCATGAGCTGCCTCACCTAACCTAGAACCGTTTGAACAAATACATTTAAGCAGACCTATCAATCTGTACTTTAATCCGTTGATATATACATACAATCCCTTTTGCGGCTATTGCAGCTTAGTTCTGCCCACTGCTTGTGTGGTATTGCTGCAAGCCGGGATTAATTATACGGGTTGACATGGCTGAACAATTAGTTCTGCAAAGTGTTAAGCCTCCAAAAGCAATGGGTATGAAGTCTTGTGTGCTTTATTTAGGTATAAAACCACTTTATCAAGCATTGCAGGTGGAATAACATATTTAGGAGTCAAAAATCACTTATCGAGATTTACAGTTCATTCAACAATCAGTGTCATCGTTAAGAATGCAATTCACGCAGGGGATTGATAGCTGGTAAGAGGTAATGAGAGGTGTAATAGAAGTGTAAAAACTCTTCAGGATAATACAGACTCACAACACCCTAAGGATTCCTTAAGTGAAGATCTGTTTCATTCTCTGTGAGAAAGAAATGTGACATTAAGAGCAGTAGCTGGCAATCATTTGATTATCTTCAAATTTCTGCAATCAAACTCAAGGTTCATTCAAAATTGCTGACTTTCAAAGAAGACCCAAACAGAAGCAAGTAGACAAGCCACGGAAGGAAGTGTTTTTAGAAAATTATTTCAGAAGAAATCTTTCAAGAAACATAGGAAAACCAAAAGTATACTGTGTAATGCAGCTCATAGGAAATGTAATTTCTACTCACCATATCTGCTATTAAAAAGAATCTGCACACATTCCCTGAGGGTATTGATATCCTCAGTTTCCTTAATGAAACTGTCCCATTTCTCTATTAAGAAACAAGAATAAGGAAATTTTACTTAGGAAAGCAATTTATTGTGTAAAAAGTAGCATCATATTGTGTAATTATCATGCAGCAGATTACGTTTAATTAAGCAATACTAAGTAAACTAAAATTAAGTTTTTCACTATTAATATTTATAAAACAATACAAAACAGAAAGATTAAGTTCTAGAACAGTCCTGTAAAATGGGTAGCCGCAACTACCTGCCAAGGTTCTAATTTCTTGGCTGGAGAAGATTATAGCTATTCACAGTTGGTTTGATGGTTGTACTTCAGAGGATGGATATGTAAAAAATTTAAGAAAAGTCCAATGGTGGAGTATATTTTGATATTTGAGATAAATTCAGTTGTTGAGAGCCACTTACATTTAATAGAGGTTTTGACCAGCTCTAGGGGTTTAGACTTGGGCAGAACAATCCTCGCTTTGGGATATTTAGGTGTCTTCTTATACACAGAAGCATCATATATTGTAGTATGTAATACTGTTCTTGCCAATTATATAAATGTATAATATATGCACTCACGTGGTACAGAGCCTTATGTGGCTACAACAACAACAAAAAATAGTGCTCTCGGTAGACAAAACTGTGTGAAGTAAAAAAAAGAGTCCTACTTACATATTGCTGATAATTGTTCAGCTCTATATTTCATAAATGAGCTTATATCTGTTATATACAAAGTGGGGATTGTCCAAGCCTACTCCCCTAAAGCTGGTCAGAAGCTCCACTGAATGTAAGGGGCACTTCACACCTGATTCTCTCTCAAATACCTATATATACTCCACTATTGGACTCTCCTTTCTTTTTTTTTTGTTACATATCCCTTATCTGAAGCACAACCACCAAACCAGCTGTGAATAAGTATTTATAAAGTGCCACCAAATACTGCAGCGCTGTACAATAGGTGGACTAACAAACAAGTAGTTACAACAAGACATGTTGGATGATTAGGAACAGAAAGTTCCTAGCAAAATATAGTGAATGCTGCACTATTAATTATAGATGATGCACAGCGTTAAGTGAAACACTATACCTGTTTTGTCGTGTACTATTGAAAAGAGAACGCGCTTAGAAGCATGAGCAATCTGTCTAAGGCTGTTGCCTGATGGTGAGGATTTTTGTCCTGAGCAGAGAAAATAAAATATAGGAATAACATTAAGTAGCTTGTGTGCAGTATGTGTCATTATGAATGTATCTTTTTTTGTTCTTTGTAGACTGCCCATTCCCCACATCTCTAATCCACACCTTAATTTCCCAATTATTTCCATCTATCTTCCCAACTCTCGTATCTCTCACCATCCCCATACTTGTGGGTCTTCCACTCCCAACAACTTGTTTGTCTTGGTCCCCAGTAACATGCGTCTTTATTTCTAATCACATCGTCCTTTGTGTCTATCCATAACACCTTATTGGTGGTGTTCTTGTAGCATGGCAGAGCAAGAGCTTACTAAAGCCGCGGCAGAAGCTTTTCCCTTGCCACACATCTTTTCATATTTCTTTGCATATATGTAGAGTGGTGTAGTAACATTATTTAACGGTGTTGTCCCTACAAGGAAAACATTCCTGCCAAGGTTTTAGAATGCTCTGAGTCAGCACTGCCACAATGGAGGTGACACAAACAGGATCCAACAACTAGCCTTAGTACCAGGCACTTGGATTGTCCCATTCATTTTACAAATTTTGAAAAAGTAACAAAGGAAACAACAGTCCATGGCATACATTTTCTTTATAATTTAATCGTTTTGGCTGCTGACAGAGGTTTTATACATATGTCTCAAAAAAGACATGGTTGTGCAGTCTTGTGTTGAATAGACTTTCAATGAGATCATGGCATGACAAGATATTTTATAAATGTCAGGCATTGAAAAAAAATGCAGATATGGGTTTTGCAAATCTGAAAAATTTAATAGTGTTTGTTCTCTTTGTATAGTTTTCATGGTATTCTGGAAGAGTTGTGGGAAGTTGTTGTTTTTTTTCCCCCCTAAACTTTGCCTCATCACCAAATATTTAAAAATGTACTTAGATCAGTGGAATGTTTGGGAAATGTTGATCTCACCACAACTTCAAACAGCCTTATCGCGATGCTGTCAGGTAGACTGTCCCAAAGATGGTGATCAGTCCCCAAACAATACAACTGACCTGTCCATGAATGGTCATTGGACACTATTTGCATGAAAGTAGTTTATGACAGCAAAAACTTACTGAACTGTGGGAAAAAAATAATGCCTCTGCATATTTTGAACTATGTTCTGGGAGAGTGATGCCAATATATGCCTGTGCTTTCTTCCTGGACATTATAATGTGACTTTAATACGAAAAAAATAACATTTACTAGAAGCAATAAAAATATTTTGATCAGCATGGTGATGCTTTCCTATTTAAAACAGTACTGTCATTCCCCCTGTGAAATAAGTATTTTATAAAGATAGAATCTTTATGAAATACTCATAGTGACGGTGATGGAATTTCATTGAACATCCAACCCAATCAAAAGATATACTAACACAAAGAAGGGACTACTTTGTCTCAGTATATTTCCTGAGACAAGAAGTGTCAATCCCCCACTCGTCACCAGTGATGGCTGCAGGGAAATCGACTCTGTCTATGGAGGATCCTGTGGTCTTGCAGGATCTTCTATAGGCACATGTGGTGGAACAGAAGATGATCAGCCAGAATGAGGTATGGGTTCTGGTAAGTTTTAGTTACCTTTGCCTGCCCCCGCCTCCCTTGCCCACCGTTCCCCCACCAGCGATATTACTGTTGGGGTCTTTGCAAATTATGCAAAGTCCCGAGATGGTGACAATGACACTAAGTTCTAAGATCAACCACAATCCAAATCAAATATTATGTACATCTATATGTCGGAAAATATATACACTACTGAAAAATAATATACTCACCAGAACAGTCTGAGGGATCCTGAATCTGATCTCCTGGTGTTCGAAGGATCAACAGTTCATTGGTTGCGTTGGTCCCATGCACACTCATATGAACTTCTTGCTTCACTTCCACAGGAAGCTGGATAGGTAACGAGACATTGTATAGAAGGTTTGATACACTGGAAGTGTTGTCATGATTTGATGATTTGGCAACTTTGGGGCTTAGACCAGAGTCTGGTATGACTTTTGTTGTTGAAACAGCAGGACAGCTTAGGTCTGCAGGGGACTTAATTTCTCTGCTAGGTTCCTCGGCAGTCCTAAACATGAATAAAGAATATCTTTATCACTCTTATAATTAAAATACTGTAAACACTGATGAAGGAATAATGAAATGATCAAAGTTGAGTTGTTAAGATCATTCACATTCGATTATGTAAATGACAGAAAGAATGTTATTCCTAAATGTCACTTTCAATAAGTTTTAACAGTGCATCCTTTAGATTTTGTTTTTAGTTTGGTTGACGACTTTTTAATGATAAATAGATAATTTTTTAAACATAAAAGTCAATCATAACACTCATTAAATATATTTATGAATTACTGAATTAAACATTTATAGTAACACTTGGTCCATCAGCAGAAAAGCTTACCTTTTCAGTTTGAATCTCAGGCGGTGACTGTGCTCTAAAATAAGCATTAAGCTTTTCACATCATACTCAGCAGGTTTCCGTAAAGAGATCCCATCAGGAAATCCTTGCACTATTAATGATCCAGGATCCTTTAGAATTTTGTCATATGGCACGGGAACAATATTGGACTTACCTAGAGCTTCGCCTACAGAAACACAATGCTTTATTTTAGTAATGGAAACTGCTAAGATGCCAGAAAAAAACAAAACACTTCAATCAATGGCAGTACGTAATTAATACATTTTAAAAACGTCTCAGAAGAACTGATTCGCATGCTATTAGGTACATTGGGAGTCAATAAGCCATATTATAACACAAGTTCTTAGTAAAAACCTTTGCACACTTGCGATGGAAGTCATCAGTGGCTGGTATGTGTCCATTCTGTAAGCTAAATCATATATTCAGCTGTTTTCCAACTTGTCTATAAAATACGGCAGCAAAACATGACTTTAAATCAGAATATCTTTAAATGGCACTCTAAGCACTATAAACTTTACAGCTCATTGCAGTTGTTAAGGTGCAATTAGTCTACAGGCGCCATCTCCATGTTTTCTTTCAAAATTGTTTTGGAGTGTTGTGACAAAAAACAGAACTGTCCCAGCACTCATAGCCTGTGCAATAAAGCTACACTTCCCCAATATCAGTGTGTATCAGTCCAACTTGATACACTGTGGCATGTGGGCTAAACAGACACAGCTATAGTGGTTATGGTGCTTTAAAGTGCCACACTGGTGAACAACATGTTATTTTAATGCATAAAGTAAGTTTACGTAGGAGCTCTGTGGAGGAGGGTCCGCAGCCCACCAGGAACAACAAGAAGTAGAGTTCCACAAGCGTCACAATGTAGGTGAAGGCAAAAATTTTTGCTTTGGCCTAGAGGCCTTAAAAAAAGGACAAAAAAAAAAGATATAACGTTTCGGCCTCCAATAAATAATTTTTTGCCTTCACCCTACATTGTGACACCTGTGGAACTCTACTTCTAGCATGTTATTTTATATACTAAAGAGTCTTTAAACTGATTTTTGTGGAAAACTAGCGTGCATTAACTGTAAAGTGATGTCTTACTGTAAAGCATGTCAAAAACCTCCTCCACCATCTTCCTGAGCAGATAAATATCTGAAGGTGGCCCAGTGGACATCTGTGGAACATTCTGGAGGCATTCTCTGTTCCTCGTGTGAGCATCAGGTTCTTGTTCCTTTCTTTGGGGGCTCACTGCATAGTAAAAAGTCCATGTTAATGAATTTATTAGACTCTAGATTTATGCATTTTTATTTTGGCAAAGAAGATAGATTTTGTGTTCAATACAAACCTCTAATGATTAAATATACTTTTATCTACCTAATAAAAATTGTTCAATATAAACCTCAAATGATTAAATATACTTTTATCCACCTAATAAAAAAATATTGTAAAACGTGGGTTAGCTGTGGTTTATTCTTTACTTTAAGTCAGATTTAAAGGGACTAGAGTCACCCAGACCACATTATCTTAATGAAGTGGTCTGGGTGCAGTGATCCTGTCCTCTTAACATTGCAATGTAAAAACTGCATTTTTTTTTTTTTTTTAGAAACTGCAATGATTACACGGCATGTTTAAATCCACCTCTACCGGCGGTCATACTAACAGCCCCTAGAAGCGCTTTCCCGGGGTGTCCTTAATACAATTAGGGACAAGGACACTGGCGTTTGGTATTCCTTCCACCAAGCATGTCAAACTCAAAAGCTAACTCAGGCCAAATAAATAAGGCTTAAGTTTATGTGGGCTGCAAAATATTTTTTTTTAAAAGAGTTCGACCTGGACCAACACAAACTAAAATTACTTGTATCATACTCATGCAAACAATATGTAATCCTGGGTACATATATATAATTCACTCAAAAGCTTAACCTAAGGTTTCTTACTATCTCAGTAGTAATGCTACTGTATTAAGTGTCTGCTCTGCTCGCTCCCTCAGTCCCTTTGCAAACTGCAGTCTCAGCCAGGTAGGTAGCCGCACTGTCCGCTCCGCTTGTTCGCTAGTCCCTCTGCAATCTCAAGGCAGAGTAAGGTGTAGCTGCACACTCCACTCGCTTCTACCCCCCTTCCGTCCATGTCTCTTCTTCCCCCTTCCATCCATGTCTCTCTACCATCTCCCATCCATGTCTTCCTTCCATATCTCTGTCCCACATCTCTCTCTATTTTTCCCTGCCATCCATATCTCTCCCTCCCTTCTATATCTCTCCCCCACATCTATCCCTCTCTTCCATATTTCTCTATATCTCTCCTTCCGTGTCTCTATCCCCCCTTACCCATTCCATCCAAGTCTCTCTCCCCCATCCAGATCTCCCTCCTCCACCCTTCAATTCATATCTTCCCTTCCATTCCAATCTCTCCCAATCAGGTCTCCCTCCTCCTTCTCTGGCAGGCAATTGTTTCCCTCACAAAGCCGGCGCCAAAGGTTATGGTAGCGCCAGCTCTGCTCTGCTTTGCCCTATAGATAGAAGGCCCCCCTTCCTTCGGTTTCTCACCTGACACAGCAGGGGAGGGGGGCCTCTCACCGTCCAATGGCGTGATTGGTGTCAAACTGAGCACCAGGTAGTCATGTGACACCCGGTACACCTACACAGAGCAGGAGGGGGAGGCTGATGGGGTTGTTTACAAAGTTGATTGTGGGAAGCATGTGGCCAGTGGGCCGAGAGTTTGACATGCTTGCCTTACACTATAGTGTTCCTTTAAATATCATCATTAAATCCATATTAAATATTAACTTAGTAGCTAGTAATCCATTTCGCTGAAGAACAAAGTGTTAGGACATAATGAATATTGTTTTTCACAGTTAGGGGGGGGTAAACAAACATTTGGGCAACAAAAGCCTTGAGTTACTATAGCACAGTAAAAGTACATGTAATCACATGCTTGCATTGCTGTTTCTGTGGAAGCAGTATACCAGGGAACCAATATAGGAATATAAGGCAGGGTCCCACAGTCACGAATGCCCCACCAGATTTTGCACAGTTGGAAGGTATGGTATGTACAGAAAAGCAATAACTTACCGCAGAACCTTTGAAAATCAGATCGAAGCTCTTTTCTAGAGTTTAAGAAAAATCTTCCTTTCTCTGTTCCAACCACAAAAGCACTTTCTTCGTGCACTGCTATACAGGCCACTTCAGCATTAAGTTTTGAGAGTGCAGAGCACTAAGGAAGTAAATAAGGAATAGATTGTGATATTAATAGTGATATTTGTAAAATTTTGAGGTTTTCTTACAACATTTGCCCTATATAAAATCTTGTTGGATATTCTTTTGCACAACGTTGTGATTTCAGAATTCTCTGTATCTTAAATGACGGGTCTCAAAACTTTTGTAAAATGAGCACATCCTTGTTCATCTTGATTTTTAATGTCACTTCCTAAAGTGCTACAGGCAGCACACACACAGAGCAGCTTTTTGAAGATGAGGTCTCCCTACTGGTACAGGTCAGCAAGCGGGGATTGGTCTGTGTGTGGGGGGGAATTACTGACTATGGGGTGTAATAGGGCTACCTGTTATGGAGAATGGGTTACAGCCAGTAAAAGTTGCAATACTGCTTCTCTCACACAGAGACTCTGCTTACAACATCCATGAATTCACACAAACTGACACTCCACCCACATACACCTGGTTTCACACACACTTACCCTCTGCATACTTATCCCCTCCAGTCACAATCCCCACACATATGACCAAGCATTACACAAACTGACCTTCCACACACATATGCTTCTGTATTCATGCACACTTACCCAACACAACCATATGTCCATGCCTTCAAGCATACAAACAGAAACACTAAGTAGAAAGGGCTCCCTGCTACAAACTCACAAAGTCATTGACATACCTGAATAAAAGAAAAAGAACCAAAATACCACCTGTGCACATTTGTGGTAGCAAGTAGCTATTCACACCTGGCTGGTAACACAAGACAAGGAATTCTGAGCCACGTTACTTTTTATTTTTATTTGCATCACTTCATAATCTTTTCACATTTTTGTAAATTTGGATTTTAATTTTTTAAAATTTTTGCAATAACATTTTTTTTTCTTAGTTAGTGAACTTTAATTATCGATTTTCCCAAGGCATCCAAGGCTTCACTCACTATAAGCATGATGGTTGTAAGAATGAAAACCTACTGCATAGAAACTGCTTTTACAGACTATGCTGGTTCTACTGGGTGCTAAATAGTTCTGATGATATAGGTGGTGATAAGCTTGGGTAATCCTGCATATACAACAAGACTTCACATTTGTTCTCTCTATCACCATGCTAATGATTTCAAATTAAAGGGACACAGTAGTCACCAGAACAACTACAGCTTATTGTATTTGTTCTGGCGAGTAGAATCATTCCCTTCAGGCTTTTTGCAGTAAACACTGTCTTTTCAGAGAAAAGGCAGTGTTTACATTACAGCCTAGAGATGAGATAGCTCCGGTAGCCACTCCTCAGATGGCTTCTACCGGTACTAGTGCCTCTACTCTCTGCATGGAGGCACTGAACTTTCCTCATAGAGATGCATTGATCCAATGCATCCCTATGAGGAGATGCTGATTGGCCAGGGTGGCATTTGGCTCTGCCCCCAGCCCGTCTCCTTGGCTAAAATCTTTCGAATTGACAATCTCAGCCAATCCAATGCTTTCCTATCAGGGGCAGAGCCAGCACCAGCAGACTGGAATAAAGGAAGGATTTTACAATATTTAGGGGGTCGTGGTGGGGGCCAGATATACTTTAAAGGAATACTATAATGCCAGGAATACAAAAATGAATTTCTGACTCTATAGTGCTAAAATTACAAAGTAAGTCAGAAAACATAAAATAAAGTTCCAAACACTTTATCCAGCACAAGAAAATAGAAAAAAATTGTAGTCATGTGGTACATGACTAAAAAGGTAAAGGGACATTGCAGCAACTAGAACTGTTTCATCCTACTGAAGTAGTTATAGTGTCTGGAGTTCCCTGATATCATTCTTCTGTAAAATGCTAAACCACTTTTAATGGTTTCATTCAAAGCTAGAGTCCCCAGCAGCCTATCCCATTTGAGCTCTGTTGGGCTAAAGAGGAAGCATTAGTCTGAACAACAATGATATGATTGGCTGTGAGTGTCAGTTGACAACTTTCAGCCTATCGCAGTGCCCATTGCTGGTATGAATCAATTTGGCCCGAAGGGAGTGTGTAATCCATACCTCCAGTGGAGGAGGGGCTGTGGATGGCCAGATACCTTATTTAGTGTTAAACTACTCAAAAACGGTTTAATATTGCATGAATAGACAGCGCCAGAGAACTCCAGTCACTATAACAAATTCAATTAGATGGAATAGTTATAATGCCTACAGTGTCCCTTTAATCACAGTGACGGAAGAAAACCAATAAACCATTAACCTTACTGAAATGAAATGTTATTCTTATCTTTTCTATGTATCCCTGCAAGTCTATATGAGGAAAAGGTGACAAAGGTGCTTTCTCCTATAAATCTGTCTGCAATTGTTACCATGTGACCATTGTTACAATAAGCTGCAGCTATTAAACAGCACTGAATACAGTGGGAAGTCCCAGTCACACTGACCATAAAATGTCCATGAGTCAAGGCAAAAATGAAACTTACCAATGGCTCGTGAGTGAAAACCTCAAGTCATGTTACGTTATTTACAAGATACATAATTTCTCCTTACACATTAAGGGCCAGATTCTAGAATTTTGTGCTGGTGTTTTCTGACCTCTTACATCTCCTATTTACGTCCATTCTGTCTTTGCTGCTAATGACATGGCTGGTTTCACGTTTATTTATTTGAAGTGCAAAACACTTTTTTTTTTCCTTTGAGATTTGTATTGTTCTGCTATATATTTTTAATTCTTTATTGCTTATCCTTTGTATTCAAAAATATAATTCAATGTGTGGTTACATCACCATATGCGTCATTCAAAATGGTATTCATCAATTCTACCTAGATTTAAAAATCAAGTATTATTTTATTTATTGTATTTCACATTGAAACCAATTAACCTCCAGTTTATTTTTAAATTTACTATGAAAAACTAATTTGTTATAGAAGACTGAAGACACAACATGGTATCAGAACCATCATCTATCATTTCAAAAACTGATTATTTATTAATGGATTTTTTTATTTAACAATTCTTATATATGCCTTTATTATGGGAGAAAACAATACAGATACGATATGTTATGATTTGCATCATTGTGTTACCAATACTCAACAACAGTGGCATGCATTATGTTTAAATACATATTAAGATCATTCAGTACCTTAAAGGGATCCTTGATCTTTTAGGAACTGCTGATCTAATATATGTTGCCAAACAAACCTAATTTGTGCCCTGCATCTAACTAGTTATAATACATGTACGTATTCTATCGCTATAGTGTTCCGTTAATCTACTGTAAGAAAGTGCAAAATGATGCACCAGGTATCTAAAAATCCAAAAATAAAAAATGGTATTTATAAAACTGCATTCACAATAACAAGGGGAAGAAATGTAGGGGTTATTTTTGACTTAAACAATTTTACCAAAGCACAAAAATATGTGCCTGGGTATGCAGAAGTATAAGTAACAGAGGCAGCTTTACGTGTCACAAGTTAGGGCTCAGCAAGATTAAGTGTTTTGGAGACTGTATCGCCACAAGGCAATAAATACATTTGGGAGAGTGCAACAAACTAAGAAAATGGGGTCTGGCTTACTGGATAAAACCTATCAGGGAGAACCTGAAGGATCTAAATATGTTGCTTTTGGAAAAAGTTTAAAAAAATATGAAATAATGGACTAGAACTTGTAGTGTAAAGCTACAGACTGATGGGTGTATATACAATTTTACAATCATATTTATACAAGGTATTTTGCAGATACATATTTACAAACAACCATTAAAGGACCACTATAGTGCCAGGAAAACATACTCGTTTTCCTGGGACTATAGTACCCTGAGGGTGCCCCCACCCTCAGGGACCCCCTCACGCCGGGCTCTGGGGAGAGGAAAGCGGTTAAATCTTACCTTTCTCCAGCGCCAGGCGGGGAGCTCTCCTCCTCCTCTCTGCCTCCGATCCTCCTCCTGGGCTGATAACGCATGCGCGCAGGAGCTGCACGTGCATTCAGCCGGTCTCATAGGAAAGCATTGTAAATGCTTTCCTATGGACGCTGGCGTGTTCTCACTGTGATTTTCACAGTGAGAAGCACGCAAGCGCCTCTAGCGGCTGTCAATGAGACAGCCACTAGAGGATTTGAGGGCTGGATTAACCCATTTATAAACATAGCAGTTTCTGTGAAACTGCTATGTTTATAAAAATAATGGGTTAACCCTAGCTGGACCAGGCACCCAGACCACTTAATTAAGCTGAAGTGGTCTGGGTGCCTAGAGTGGTCCCTTTAACTTTACACATATTCCATAATCTTCCTACCTGTCAAAGGGTTATTCACTAAAGTGGGAAATGAAAGTGAATTTTAAATATAAGGACAAAATAGCCAAGCAAGAAAATTCTCAAGGTCAACTATGCTTCCATTTCGTCTACCTTGGCCTAAAATGTTAAATTCAGTTTGAATTCTCACTTTTTCTTAGTGAATAACCTTGTTAGTGTTTGCATAGGACCACACTTTTGGTATGGTGCATGCTACATTTCAACTGAATTACTTTTAGAAAGAAAAACTCTGCTTTATGTATTTTAACAACTATGAACTTCTCTATGGCAATGCTCTTAAAGTTCTCACAATTCTTTGGTATTAATGGAAAATAGGGGTAATGAAAAAAAAATAACTGTGGTACTGTGATAAGGATCATTGAAGACCAAAGTATGAAGGGCTACCCATAAAAGGAAAAGAGCTGGGCAGATGGCGCGTAGGTTTATATTAGGAGTATTAACACTATCGCACAGCACGTGTGGCACTTTATTAGATAAGTTTATAGCACTTTATATAGGAGTGAACTATTCACTATTTTAAGATTTAAAGTTATAGTGCACCTTTTTTTGTTGATGTAATATGTAGTTTTTTTTGTGAGCTATTACACTTGTAAGGTGCAGCTTTTAATAGTAATATATTCTTGTAAGATAATTTTTAGCGCCATCTATTTTACTTGTTCTTTTGGTTAAAATGCATTCACAACAGGCAAACCTGTCAATTTGTTCTGGGTGGGTTCTCCCACTTTTTGGGTGGGTCGCCCCCCTTTACCGCTCCTACCAGCATCCCGCTTCACAGGATGCTTACGTTTGAAGGACATATATGATACAGCATATTTAATTAATTATTTTTTTACACAACATTCTAACTAGAACTTTCCAGCCATGTAATATGTAGCTTCAAGTATAGCATAAAGGCAGTCTTTCACACTAAATCAATTCATGTTTTAAAGACTTCAGTTGTGAATATGTTATCTTATAATAATGAAATATTTGCGCTAATAAATTAATCAAATCATGATTTGATCACTGTTCTCACTCGATTAACATATTCAAAAATAACATACTCTGATTATTGTAATAATAAATATTTGATCAATATATGTGACAGATAAGATAGAAGATAACCAGTATTGATTCTAAGCTTAAATAACACTCTGCTGTAGCATGTGCATTAAGCTTGTTTAAAAGCTAGTGTGTCTTCTAATTATGCAAAGGAAGCATGTTGCCGTCATTCAGATATTTATACATATTGCAGGTGTGTTGCATAATGACTTTGTTTTGGCTTGGGATCACCAGCATGGCACGGGATTGTGTCTTCACCGCAATTATCTCATAATTAGGTAATACGTTTTTAATATGCAGCATGTCAAATCTGGGGTTAATTTGTTCAAGGTTGCTATATTTGAGAGAAAACATTCTGTTGCAAAATAAAACAATAAATATAACATTTTCTTTTTGTCTTTCATTCACAAAACCACCGAATATAAATCTTTAGAGAGATATGATGCCTGTTTTCAGAGCTGACAGTAAGTACAGTGTGAGCAACCTTCAGCTACTGTGGAATTGCTATGGGCTACACCTATATTATTCTGTTGAAGAATTAAATGCAAGATAAAACTGAATATGGTTCCACATCATATGTCCACTTTTATTAGATAAATCCTAACACTACAGAATTATAACACCCATCTGTACTCAGGCATTATGAAATTACAAAGAATTTTAACAGCAGAGAGACTGCCTTCTGTTATTCACCCTAATCCGCTGTTTGTAAAGTGAACCAGTAGATATTTTTTTCCATCAGCTACAAGTCAATAACACGTCTATGAGCCTTCCTCATGGTGTGTGTTCAAAAACAAAGTTTTTACATTTTAATTTAAACCTTAAAGGAACACTATAGTCACCAGAACAACTACAGCTTATTGAATTTGTTCTGGTGAGTGGAATCATTACCTTCAGGCCTTTTGCTGTAAACACTGTTTTTTTCAGAGAAAATGCAGTGTTTACATTACAGCCTACTGATAACTTCACTGGCCACTCCTAAGATGGCTGTTAGAGATCCTTCCTGGGTCATGGCTGCCTAAAATGCATCCAAACATTCAGTGTCTCCACCTTCTGCATGCAGACACTGAACTTTCCTCATAGAGATTCATTGATTCAATTCATCTCTATGAGGAGATGCTGATTGGTCAGGGCTGTGCTTGAATTGTGCTGGCTCTGCCCCTGATCTGCCTCTTTGTCAGTCTCAGCCAATCCTATGAAGAAGCATTGTGATTGGATCAGGCTACCACTTCTGCTGAGTTCAGCAGGCAGTGGACAGGTCTACAGGAAACAGGGACAAAGTCTGCAGCTCCAGACTTGAATACAAGTAAGATTTTACTATTTTTAGGGAGGCATGATGGGACCCTGCGGGCTAGATGATGGTTTTAACCCTATAGAGTCAGGAATACATGTTTGTGTTCCTGACCCTATAGTGCTCCTTTAAAACACAGACTTTGGTGGATAGCATCCCGTTAAATAAACCTTCAGTAAAGAAATGCTGTGTTAATGTACATCTCTTGAACATTTCTTTAGTTGATAAACACATCCATCAAACGGTGAAAATGAAATGCACATTAAACTATATTATCCCGGAGGGAACATTATGAAGTACACATTAAGAAGCAAACAGGGTGAGAAATAAAGTAGCTTAGCAATTCTAGAAGGATGCACACATTCATGGATTTGTTTTTCAATTTAAACATATGTATATATCAAAATGTTTATATTTGTTTAAGACAAATACTTATCACAAGAGTCAGGCAACTTATCAGTATCCATATTAGCTTTGTAGTACTTAAAACTTGATGGCTCCCCCCAAAAAGCAGGAGTAAACCAAAAGATGTTTAAGTTTTGTTGTTTATTGTTAAGGGGTTCTAAGGGTTAGGAGGGCCAAAACAATTAGGGGGTACTTGCCGACAAGATGCTGTGGGCTTCTCAGATGTGCCCTTTCTTTTTAATCACACTGCAGTCATAAGAACACAACTTAACTTTGACATTGCTTGACCTTTCCAAGTATTTTGAAAGTGAATACCTGAAAACAATCTGATAACTGTACATTTTAGGCAAATATACCTAAGGAGAGTTACTGAATGAGATTCTTCAAATCTGGGTATTCTGGACTGAAATTTGCAAACCCTAATCAATGCTCCACTGTTTCCAAATAATATTTACCAAATGAAGCCCCAATGGTGTTTTATATCTTTCTATAAAAAAAAAAAAATATATATATATATATATATGACATATTCTCAGCTCTTAAATACACCTCCGGTAATAAATTGGATTTTAAATCAAGGTAGTCCATCTGAGCAAAACAACTTGGCAATAGGACGCAATCAATAAATGCCTTGGATACATTTTTTACTATCCCCAACTCTAGGTTCTACGCCATTACTCTTGTCATTGGGCTAGTTTTATCTAGCTCCATCCAAACACAATATTGATACTATCCTTCTTAAGACACGGAAGATGAGGTTTCTCAGCCCCGTAGAGTATTAACTGTTCCATTTTTTTTTATTCACTCCAGCTTAACCTTGTCAGGGCACTGCGGTAATTACTTGTCCTTTAGAAGCCAAGCTAGTATTGCATACTATTCCTGCAAGACAGCTGCTGCTTTCCTCATCTGCTGTGATCATGGATGTAAATGCTGCAGGTTCATTTTAAAAAAAGGTTAGAAAAAGTAATTAACACTTACTGGTCTTAACTGTAACTTACCATTGAATCTAAGGCAGATACAAGACTTGTGATGATTTCATCCTTCCCACCAGGAATAGCTGAAATCCACAGATCAGGTCTATAGTTGTTTAAGGATCCTTCATACGGCTTTCCTCCCAGTGCCATATTTGTCTGCAACGAAAACACGTCATTTTATTGATTACCTGTCTCCTTATATTGAGATACCCTGTCCTATTTTATTCAATTGCCATGCACCGCTATTGTCTGCAGGCATCATATTGCTTAAAGGGGAACTATAATATCTCTGGAATGTACACCATTAAATGAATGTTCAAAAATTATCTATAACTTCAGTAAACCAATTCCTATTTTCTGTTTTATTCCATTTATTTGGAATTTATATCAAAGATTTAGAAAACTACATCACAATCCAGTTCCATCCAGGCACAGAAAGGCAAATATTGCGGTCTTCCAGATGCTAAGTAGAGCTTATTAACAATGATCAACAGAGCACTAGGGTGGAGGATCCCAGTTGCAAGATTAAGAGAAGTGGATTTCTACAAGTTTATTTTTCAGACCTCACAAACACATTTGTTAAATTTATGAGGTAAACATTCTGGTAGGTGACATGTTTTGTTTTTCCAATTCTGATATAATGGTGTTTACACAGACATAGTTATCAAACTCAGAAGTATATTTCACAGAGTACTAAAGGAACAATGTAGTGTTGGGGATACATATCTGTATTCATAAAGCTACAGTCTTGATGTGCCTACTTAGTTCAGCCCCCCACCAAGTGTTAAAAATAAAAACAAAATTAAACAAATTAAAAAAAAAAAAATCAACTTCTCTCCTGCCTTGATGCTGTCGTGGTCTCCTCCTCATCTGGTCAGTCCAATCCAGTGCTGCTCATAGAGGAGCTTTGGGGACTGTAGGCACATGCGCAAAGCTCACTGCAATGTGTCTACGATTCTGTCCTAAAGAATCAATGAATACAATGATTCTCTTAGACAGACCATGTGGGCACTGCGCATGCATGCATGACATCAAGGTATGTTACAATATACCCAAAGGACTTGGAGCGTGACTTAAAGCCACACTTCCAAGCCTTCTAATTATTAAAATAAGGGTTTTTTTGTGGTAGGACACAGTGGATAGGACTGAAGGCATTAAGACAACTTTAATAAGATGAAGTTGTTATAGTGCATAAAGTGTTCCTTTAACCAAACGATCACATACATATATAGAATATTTTTGCAAGAGAGATAGAAGTGAGAGCGCACGCGTAAGCTCCATAGGACACTACTTGATCTGATTCACATGGAAAACATACACATACAATAAACACAAACAAAGAATAGAAAATCAGAAATATTTAAATCCCTAAAAGCAAAAAGGGCATTTTAATGGTTTAAATAACTGAAATTAAAAAGTAGAATGTAAATCAAAATGGTTAATAGGTATTTTATTGTTAACTATGCATTAGTAATTAGTACAAATTACTAATAAATATCACCAAAGAGGGTAAGAGTCATGTATTCTTAGATCACAGATATAAATTTCATATAATGTGGAAGTAGAGCAATAATAATTTTACTGCATTAATATTTAACATTAATAAAACCTCCCCACTGCATAATTCAAAGGGGTAGATACATATTAATAATGGTTTGCTTTTTAGACTGGCTTTAACCATGAGTAACATCACACCTGCTGGGCTAATCAGCTTCCACTGGCTCTCATGGGTAACTCTACATTCTATATGCAAATGAGTAATTTATTGCAGCCCTGCTGTGAATACATAATGCTTACTTCATATGAGAAATCAAAAGATAAAGTGGCATTGTCTCAATAGCACAATACAGCCTATGAGATGCCCTGACTCATTGGATTCAAAATGTCTCATATGGTTCAGTTCTTGCAGGGATATACAGGGATTCTTTTGGGTTACATAGAAGCAGGATGCAAATCAGATAATCTATTAATATGTAAACTGTGAAAAGAGAGATACTGTGAGCATTGGATGCTATGTGGAGACATTTTATTAAAGGGATATTATAGTGCCAAGAATACAAAGCTGTTGCACTATTGCTTTCCCAGCTTCCCCCCTCCCTTGAGCCCCCCCCCTCCCTCCCCAATAAATAAACTGTTAAAAACTAATTTACTTACCTTATCCCAGGGCTAATGTCCCTCGGGGTTGGGTCGATGCGCCACCCCCTTCTCCGTCCCACGACGAGCGGTGTCTAATAGGCATGTGCGGCAAATGCTGCGCGCATTATACCTTCCCATAGGAAAGCATTGAATTAATGCTTTCCTATGGGGAAATATCTGACGCTGGATGTGCTCATGCAGAGCGTGAGGACGTCCAGTGTCAGATAGCAGACCAAAGGTCCAGTTCAATTCAGGAAGACCTCTACTGGCTGTCTGGTAGACAGCCACTGAGGGCAGACAGTGCACTAAGTGCAAAAGGGACAGTCCACCCAGACCACTTCAATAAGCTGAAGTGGTCTAGATAGAAAAAGTGTCCCTTTAAACTACTAATGTACAGTGACCACAGATGCAAAACTTTGAGGTTTGATTGTAAATACACTTGCTAATAATATATTTTATTACAGCACCGGGTCATCAGATTCCAATTGGATGAAACACAAAGGGTGTAATAAGCAAATAAAAAAAGAAAAACAAGAGGTGAGAACGGACAACAGCTCAATTAGCCTGCCCTTCGGTGGGTCCCCGCTCAGATCTCTAGCTGGTTTTAGCTCATCTTGTGCCATTACAGAGAGAACATCCCTGAAACATATCAGACTGGTCCCACCCATACGGGCAGTCCAGATTAGAAATGCCAGCAAGTTCTCTCTGCACGAGAGATACAGCAACCCCAGACGATCGTTTCAACCTTGTAAGGTATCATCAGTGAGGTATAGCCAATATCCCTCTAGGCACCGTAAGCAGGCCCAGATTAAGAGCCCAGTGGGCCTGGTGCTGACAATTATGAATGGGCCTAATTACAGAATCTTATCGACCAAAAACACTAAAACAGTCATGCTTCTCAAGCGTCATGTATCTGATGGAGTTGATGTTGAAGGGAAACTAAAAGAATGCAGCTATAAGAAAACTCATACTCTATGATAATCTCTTTATCTAATTTATACTTTAATCTTTCAAGTAAATCCAGCAGTGTTCAGTGAAGCAAGACGTCAATGGGCAGGGTAAAAGGGGCATGTCTGTCCAAAGAATTGAAAGGCCAGCCTGGCATCAGTGTCCCTATGTATCTCAGTGTCCCCATGTTGCCCAGTCCCCTAGTCTCCCAGTGTCCCCATGTCTCACTGTGTCCCGTGTCACTAGGATACTAGGGGACACTGAGAGACCTGGAGACACAGTGAGACCTGGGGACACTGAGACACATGGGTACACTGGGAGACATGGGGACACTGGGAGACATGGGGGCACTTGTGGATACAGACATGGAGACACTGGGAGACATGGGGACACAGACATTTGGGGACACTGGGAGAAATGGGGTCACAGACACTAGAGACACAGACACTGGGAGACATGGGGACACTGGGAGACATGGGGACACAGACACTAGGGACACTGGCTGAGAGGCATGGGGAAACATACACTTGGAGACATGGGGGCACTTGTGGACATAGACATGGGGACACTGACATTTAGGGACACAAAGACATGGGGACACAGACACTGGGAGACATGGGGACACTGAGACACTAGGGACACTGGCTGGGAGACATAGGGACACTGGGAGACATGGGGACACAGACATTGGCTGGGAGACATAGGGACACTGGGAGACATGGGAACACTGAGAGACATGGGGACACAGACACTGGGAGACTAGGGGACACTGAGACACTAGGGGCACTGGCTGGGAGACAGTGGGACACTGGGAGACATGGAGACACTGTGTTCCTAGTGTCTCTGTGTCCCAATGTGTCTCCCTATGTCTCACAACGTCCCCATGTCTCACAGTGTCCCCTAGTGTCTCAGTGTCCCCATGTTTCTCAGTGTCCCCTAGTGTCTCAGTGTCCCCATGTCTCCCTGCTGCCTTTCCCCCCATCTTTCACATACCTGAGCTGTAGTCTGTCGCTGCAGGTTGGGAGCTGCTGTCTGGACTCTCTGTGCTGTGTAGCTGTTCCCCAGCAGATCAGTGAGTAGAGAGAGGCAAGGAGATGCTGTAACTTCCTATCCCTGCCTGTGATCTCTACTGGCTGGTGCTGGTATTGCAGAGTAATCTCTGTTTATACTGAGAAAAATATTTCCATTTGTATTGCCGGTATTACTGCAATACTGTCATAGTCAGGCAGCCTCAAATACCGGCTGTGCCTTAAAATACCAGTCAGGTGGCAAGAGTAGCGTGTAAAAAAAAATAAAAATCTTTTTTTTTTTTTTTAATGGGCCTATTCCATAGGCCTGGGCCTGGAGCTGCAGCTCCATCAGCCCCTATGTTAATCCGGCCCTGACCGTAAGCAAGGGGTCCACATCTGGACTGCCCTTGAAACTTAAGGAGAGAAAAAGAGTAGTAATAAGGAAATGTGAAAGAAAAAGAACTGAGGTAGAGCCAATACTTGGTACACTAAGGAACAGGTGGTAACCCCAAAAAGAAAACTAACAAACAAGGGAAGTGTACCGGTAGGGACTGGGATAGATAGAATATACTCTAATGCCAGTACCAGATATCAACAAGATAGCTACTAGACTAGGAACTTGGATGATAATGATAATAAAAGCAAAAATATATATATTTTATTGAGTCTAATGAAAATAAGAAAATATATATAGGTGCTTAGGTGCTCGAGTAGAAAAGGTGAACAATGTGATAAGTATTTAAACCAGTTACATTAACTTGAAATGTCACTATTGATACTGAGATAGTCTCAAAATATAACACTGAACTATATAGCTCTGATAGGCTGACTCTAGTGGTATATATAGAAATAGTAACAATAGATTAATGCTTCATAGTAGACTGGTAAAGGTTCAATAACAACATAACCTGTATGAAATTAGACCAATAACATTAACTTAAATGTCACTATTGATATTAAAATGAATCTCAAAATGTGACTATATAGCTCTAGTAGGCTGCCTCAAATGGTGCATAGAATTACTATCAATGGATGTTTCATGGTGGATTGGTAAAAGTTTAATAGCCTAACCTATAGCGGGATAGTGGTATGCTGTGGAGCGAGCCTGATATAGGTATTATCCTGCACACATCTGTGCCCAGATAAAAAGCTCCATCTGATAAAAACTTTTTACTTCTGTATTTTAGCCCTTTAAAAAAAAACAAAAAAAAAACAAGTATAAAATGTGTTCTTTTACAATGATAAATAAAGGAACACCATAGGGTCAGAAACCCAAACATGTATTCCTGACCCTATACTGTTAAAAACACTATCTAGCCCCCCTGGTCTCCCTAGCCCCCCTAAATATTGTACAATATTGCCTTTATTCCAGTCTGCTGGTGCTGGTTCTGCCCCTGATATGTCTCTTTGGCTGGCATTATCAAAAGTGATGATCCATAGGAAAGCATTGGACTAGCTGAGATTGTTGATTCTGATGATCTCAGCCAATGTGGCAGGCCGGACCGGAGCCAAATGAATGAATCAATGCATCTCTATGAGAAAAGTTCAGTGTCTCCATGCAGAGGGTGGAGACACTGAATGCCAGTGCTGAACACTGTGCAGCATTGCCCCAGGAAGCACCTCTACTAGCCATCTGAGGAGTGGTCACTGGAGGTGTCTCTAGGCTGTAATGTAAACACTGCCGTTTCTCTGAAACGACAATGTGTACAGCAAAAGGGCTGCAGGGACTGACTACTCATCAGAACTATATTAAGCTGCAGTTGTTATGGTGACTATAGTGTATCTTTAATAGGACACTACAGGCAACCAGACCACTTCAGTGAGATGAATATGGGTACCTATAGTATCCCTGTCCCTTTTTAAATTTTTATTAAAGGAACACCATAGCGTTAGGAATACAAGCCCCTATGGTTAAGCTCTAATGTGTGCACAATTGGACAATTGCCTCTGTCCTTAAAGGGTTAAAGAGACATTCCACTGCCCAAATACAAAAAATATATAAGTGAGTATTTAGTAGATGCCCTCATTGAAAACATGCATGCAGTTAATGGTGCATTTTTTTCACAGATCTCTTGTCTGCAAACTTGGCAAGTACTCCCCCATCTTCCCAAGCTTGGACTTCCTGAGAATGTACAATCTCAGGTTGCAGCTCAATGAGAAGTCTTAACAAGCCAGGTGGTATGAGCAATTGCGGTCTCCTGAGATTAGCTCCACTGAGCTAAACAACCAGGAAGTAACAACAAGTTGTCTGACTGAAAGCCGGCAGTGGGGCAGGAGTAACAAGGTTAAATTATAAAAGTGATTTATATTGAAAAGAAAATGTTGTTTTCATACTTAATTCTTTTTTATTTTCTGCATATATGTACAATTAACAAAAGAAAGGGTGTAATTCTATTGTTTCTTTTTAAAGCTGCACTATCATTTCCCCCAAAATGACTATTTCATAAAGATAAAATCTTTGTCTCATCATATTTTGTCAGTGAAACTCCAACACATTTAATATGAGTATTTCATAAAGTAAGGGAATACTTTGTTTCAGTATTTTTCTAACGCTTGACAGTTCTTGACACTGGGCTGAGCTACCGCCATCAAGAAGTGTCAATCTCCCAGCTGTCATCAGTGATGTATGGAGGATCTTGTAGTCGCATGAGCTAGAAAGAGCACCGGTCGGAAGAGGGTAGTGGAGCTGTGAGGGACAGATTCAAGTTAAAGGTTCACTATAGTGTCAGGAAAACAAACTCGTTTTCCTGGCACTATAGCATCCTTAGGTCCCCTCCCTTACCCTCAGGGTCCCCTTCAGCCACTTACCTTTATTCAGAGCCGGGTTCCCCCGGTGCTGGTGACCTCTCCTCCCCCACCGGCGTCTGCGTCAGCGCCCGCGCGCACATTCAAACAGTCCATAGGAAAGCATTTCTCAATGCTTTCCTATGGACGTTCTGCACACTGCGAAGGCAGAAGCCCCTCTAGCTGCTGTCAGGAAGACAGCCACTAGAGGTTGGATTAAACTGCTATGTTTACATCTGAAGGGTTAAAACTTGGGGGACCTGGCACCCAGACCAATTCATTGAGCTGATGTGGTCTGGGTGACTATAGTGTCCCTTTAAATTCACCTTTGCCTGCCAACCCTAGCCATTGGACTCCCCAGACGGTGACAATTTGGCTTTAAGCCTTCCTCCTATTTCTAAAAACACTCTTGTGTCAATGACAGTTGGCGTTAGTAATCAATTTACAAGAATTAACGGAAAATAAGTTATTATTATGAAAAAGAAGTCAATGAGGCTATATAGAGAGTACATTTATACAAACATAAGTTTAAAAAATGGGATGCACTAGATTAAATAACAAAACCGATATTGTATAGACAAAACTGGATTAATGGTATTATAAATAATACACTTCACCTTCAAACGTGTCAAACTTTATGTGCCTCTAGCATGGTAACAATTTAAGATGTTGTTGAAGATTACATATTCAGGAACAAAAAAAACTGCATTTTAAAGCCAAGTGCAAAGCATAGTATCTGTCCAGGGAGAGAGAGTAGAGAAACGTGATTTGTTATGCGGACAATAGCTGTGGAAACCTGCTGAGGCTTAGACAGAATCAATGAGAGTGTTTTCCACTGCAGACCCTGGTACTCTCTAAACTTGTCAAGCAAACCTCATTACCATGAAGATCTATATCCAAACAGTACAAGGACAGGAGAACTTTGACTTTTATTGTGAAGGTTAAAATGAAATGGAAAGCAAGCTGTATCAAATTCATGTTCAGTAGCATAACCTTATTTCGTTTATGGTGCAAAGATTGGCAAACTGGATCATTGTCACAATGTAAATAATTCCTATATTTAATGTAATATAAGCAATTTTCAGACACGTAGCAATTAACAAACCTATCTAATACAGCTTATTCTAGTTACTGTGGTACAAGAAGTGTCCGGCTTCCATCCCCCCCAGTGCCCAAAGCACCCCCCTACCAGTCTCTCAGCAAATCATTATATGTCCAAACCAGAGAAGGCAATGGTATGCCCGAGCGCTGGGGGACTGGAGTGCATCTTAAATGTAATAAAACTACAATCACCCATAAACACACTTATAAAAAAATACTATGTTTACGTTGGTGTAAACATTGTCTATAATACTCCCCTTACCAAAATCTCACAAATCGCAATGATCTATATGCACCTATGTTTTAGACAACATCTTTAAAAATAGTAATGGTAAGATATATATTTTTTAAATTTCCTTTATTAAAAAAAGGTTACTCCATGCACTATAACCACTTAAGTGATTTGATATGGTCATGGTGTCTGTAGTCTGTTTGTGCAGCGTTTCGCTATGAAATCTAGGATGGAAAGGGTTACTCTAAACAAAAAGCATTGTTTTCTTAAAACACTGTATTTTCCCTTGAAGTAAGCCTTTAAAGTTTATTCTATAAATGGCTGTAGAGCAAGGATCTGATCTGTGCAGCCTTTCACACTGAAAAGCTGCCAGATCAGATATAAAGTATATTGATTTTCTTTCCGGGATGTAACTCCATTTCCAGCTCATGTCAATCCAGTGGCCAGAAACATTGTTACCAGGCTGGCTATATCAATTTTATCCAAGTTTTTCCTGTGGCACCGACACGCCACCCGAGCAGCCTGGTTTAAGCTCTTTCTCCTCCGAGGATAGCCACAGTCTGGACATGGATTGCAGCTCACTAAACAGTGAGCCAAGCTATGTGCAAGCTTTTAATGCCAAAGCAAGGCAATCAGTTTATAGTGCAGTTCCACTAATCATATATGATAAGCGGTACTGCTCTTAATGATTATTATTATTTATATAGCGCCATCAGATTCCATAGCGCTGTACAATGGGTGGACTAACAGACATGTAATTGTAACCAGTCAACTGGATGTACAGGAACAGAGAGGTGGAGGGCCCTGCTCCATGAGCTTACATTCTAGAGGGAGTGGGGTATAGTGACACAAATGGTAAAAGTAGGGGTACGAAATAGGTTGTTAGAAAAGTATTCATTGAGGGCTTAGTAGGTAAGTTTTGACAGTTGCAGGAGTCATGGAGGGTTGAGGATGAAAACCTGCTAACAGTTTAATTGATATGCTTTCTTGAAGAAGTGAGTTTTCAATGATTTTTTGAATGAGTGGAGACTGGGTGAAAATCTTACGGAGAAGGGAAGGGAGTTCCACAGAAGAGGTACAGCCCTGGAAAAGTCTTGGAGGTGAGCGTTAGAGGTGGGAGTACAGACAGAGGATATACGTAGGTCTTTGGCAGAGCATAGGTGCCTCGACTGGACCTACTTGTGTGTTAGGGAGGATAGGTAGGTTGGAGCAGCATTATGTAGGGACTTGTAAGCAAGCACCAGAATTTTAAATTGAGCCCTATATATAACTGGAAGCCAATGCAGGGACTGAAAGAGCAGGCAGGCGTGAGAGATGCGGGCGGACAGGAAAATGAAACTCGCTGCCGCGTTCATTATAGGTTGCAGCAGTGCAATTTGGGAACACGTAAGACCACTGAGAAGAATATTGCAGTAGTCAAGGCGAGAGAGAACAAGAGCATGGACCAGCACCTTAGCCGCATCCTGGGTTAAATAGGGGCGGATGCGCACAATGTTTATGAGATGGAAGCGACAGGATTTGATGATTGATTGGATATGAGGGGTGATGGAGAGGTTGGAGTCAAAGAGAACACCCAGGCAGCGAGCCTGCGAGGTAGAGGTGATGGTAGCCCCGTTGACTTGGAGGGAGGGAGACACGGGAGTAGTAACACTTGAGGGAGGAAAGACCAGAAGTTCTGTTTTGGACAGGTTGAGTTTAAGGAAGTGAGCAGCCATCTAGTTGGAAATCGAAGAGGGGCAGTCAGAGACACGAGTCAAGATGGGCGGAGAGAGATCATAAACTACTTATCCCATAAACTTGATACTGTGGAGAGTTTTATGTGATAAGACTTTTCTTTCTAGTTGTCTGTCTGCAGCTCCCAATAAACATTCTATCAAAGAAAGGATCTTGTAATTTTTTTATTTATTTTTTATAATGCATTAAAACATTGTAATTTTTACCCCACAGTTTCCTGCACTTAAACATACTTCAACGTCTATTATCGAGTAAACGAGAGGCTGTGTGGTATAGTACAGCAATGATATAGTAGTGTAGAAAAAACAACGAGGGAACCGGCTGATAATCTCTACAAAAGTAAATAGAGAAAATATAGTGTAATACAGTTTACAGTATAGACATTGCGCAAATTGAAATGCACTCACTGGATTTTGGACAAATTGAAGCTTGTAAGGTGCCTTCCCCGATAGTAGGGGGGGCTAGGGAAATCCCCTGGATATTTTCACTCCAACACAGGACTCCGGGTGAAGTTTGAAAAATATTAAAATAAGTATAAAAAAGAATAAAATAAGTGAAAATATCCAGGGGATTTCCCTAGCCCCCCCTACTATCGGGGAAGGCACCTTACAAGCTTCAATTTGTCCAAAATCCAGTGAGTGCATTTCAATTTGCGCAATGTCTATACTGTAAACTGTATTACACTATATTCTATTTACTTTTGTAGAGATTATCAGCCGGTTCCCTCGTTGTTTTTTCTACATTTTGCTGTCAAGTTGATCGCTAGCTGGGAAGCGATCTGAGGGAGGCTGTATTCATCTTCGTTTGATAAGTATCTTTTGCATATATATTAAGGTGTATAAGGTACAATATTGTTGGTTGTTTTTTAATGATATAGTAGTAAATGCCAAGTGAACAAAACATATTATTCCGTCTTCAATCTTTTTTTTCTTTTGAGGTTTTTCAGACACAAAATGCTGTTAGGTGTCCCAAACCACACTGCAAAAGGGCAAACTTAGAATGATAAACATATAGATCCACACTTTTAAAAACAAACCTCGTCACATCTAAAAGTGTTTGTTACAGATAAATTATCAGTCATCCAATGTCACATAATATCAGATATTTACCTACAAGATTTTACAACATTAATAATGTCATAATACTGATTTAGACTGAGAAAAAAAAATGAAAGAAGTAAAATACACCCTGTGAAATTAAGAGAATATCTTGTGGCTTTCCTATCACATGTTGTAAACCGACATCTGTAGCAGTGGTTACATATCCAGCTGTCATCTGATTCAACTGCCAGCAGAGTTCAGTGAGTGAACGTAACGGAACAGAATAGAATATTCTCAATGAACCAGACGTAGCTCCTCTATCAAAAATGCTTTACTTGAATTTCAGTGAATGTGCCTATGATCTCAGCTTACCATGCAGTTGGACACTTTATATTGCGATTTGTAATTCCCTGGGCACACTACCACATTTTCCAGTTACAGAATCACTACCCCTAAAAATGCTATATAAGCTATCGAATATAAACACAAAGCTACCACAATACTATTCAATGGAAACTAGCTCGTCATCCCATTTATGTAAAATAAAAACAAGTAAACACTAAATGGGGTGGCTTTCAATTTGCTACCATAGAGAATTGCCACACTCATGTGCTAACCAGCCATTAAATCATTGAGCAGCATGGTGTGACTACAACTGAGGAGGTAGTCAATTCATTAAAAAGAATTATTTAATCTCCGCAGCCAAAACATGCATTTAAACACCCAAAGGTTATTGAAAAGGGATTTTTTTTTTTTTACGTTATCATCCACACTCTAATTTGCATTACAAAAGATGCCTATTTCTAAAAACACACATCCCATAGTCTCACCTGGGATTTTAATTACATTAAATTGAGTTTAAAGATATACAGACAGCCCACAGAATTCAAAGGCACTGCACAGAAAATTAAAATAAGATTTAGTCATTTAAAAATTAAGGCTAACTAGCATACACTGGCAGCAGAGTCTCACAGCTGTGCCAAACTAGACCTAGCAACATAGCACAAAGCCAGTTTAATACTTAGTCTCCAGGGATAAAGGCTTAATGGTTGCAAGGATGTGAAATGTCACTGTCCATAAGAGCACCGAATGAATAGCCAAACTCAGATTTTTACATCATGTAAATTTAAATCAAATATAGTTTGCTTGGCTTACATTAAATAAATCCTGAAAACAGTCTTCATAAGCTATACATTATGTAGTTTATAGACTAAACTAAGAATTTATAAGAAATGATAAGAGAACTTCAAATTAAATCCACAAATAGAGAAGATGAAAAATAGCTTTCTAGACTTGTAGAATTTTTCCAGCTCTGCTATTTAGTCTAAAATGTGCAATTTGTCTGTCAGTATAGCATAGTTCCTTTGTTTAGTGAATACGCCCCCAGACATGCTTGCCTATAATACCCCCTACAAAATCCTGATATTTCTCACTAATCAGAGTAATGGATTAATTTATTCTAAACCTAATTCTTATTCACACTATGCTGGTTCTACTGTGTACTTATTAATTTTGACCATGCAAGTGGTGAGAAGCTTGGGTAATCCTGCATATACAAAAATACTCCACATTTGTTATCTCTATCACTATGCTAATGGAAAAGCATTGTGATTGGCTGAGATCACCATTTCTTATTATGCCAGCCAAGTAGGAAGATCAGGGGCAGAGCCAGCAGCAGCAGACTGGAATAAAGGTAAGATTTTAATATATATATATATAGGGGGAAAAGTGGGGCTTCATACATGTTTGTGTTCCTGAGCCTATGGTATTCCTTTAAACTCATTCCTAAACATAATCGGAATTTCAACCCTAATCTTAAAGGGACACTACAGTCACCAAAACAACTTTGTCACTTGCTGACTTTTAGTCAAACACACTTCAAATACCAGGGGCACTGTTGTAGTTGGGGAATTAAAGCCAGGGTGTATAATAAAGGGGAATTTGCTTTCGGGTTTTTGTACAATGTAAAGCAGCCATGTATATCTGCACTGTGTTTACCACATTACATGATATCTAACCTTTTCTACATTCTGTAACATCGGCTTTAGCTGATTTCCTTGTGCTAGATGTCTTATCATAAAAACTAAGTAAAATACAAGTTAAAAAATATGTTTTTAAATATTTTTAAATTTTTAAGCAGATGATGTACTACTATCCATTGTCAAATCCAGTCTATCATTCTCTGCTCTTTTTCAGCTGTTAGATCATTTTAGAGCCATATTAGAACCATTTTAGTTGACACCCTAAAAAAAATGAATTAAAGGGATGTCAGACTAAACACATATCCTGTATAGGAAGGATACACTGTATTAAAATGAATATTCTACCAGACTTCTATTTCTATTTCAAGCATTACCTATCAGGGTCACCAAAGGGGATTTAGACCACTTACAAAGAGCAAGTTCATATGGATGAAGAAACGACATAGACTAGCTAGAAACCTTCTCTACAGACCTAGAAATTGGGGTGGTTTGGGTCATCTAAATCTTCTCATATACTATTTTGCCTCACAACTATCCCAAATTATAATGTAGCATACCCCTGCTGGAGACAAACTATTGGTGGATCAGAGTGGGTGGAGACAGGCCTTATGGGATCTAGCTTTGTTTTATATATGGCTGGAAAAGCCCTCAAGGACACCTTTACATATATCTTGCTCTTCTATCCTGAATTCCTTATATATCTAGGATAGGTTGAGATCCAAATTCGAACTAGCACATTCTCCATCTCCAATGACTCCAACCCTCCACAACAAACTTTTTACCCCAGGCATGAGACCACATGACATTAGAAATCTTGAAGAGGCAGGTATCCTAAGATATATCCATCTATAGCCAGAAAGTAAAAATTATAGAATTTGAAGACTAGAGACAGATCAGACACCTAACGACCAAAGTAGCAATATCACTTCCCACATTCTTTGAACTATTATGTAATGAGGAAAAATACAAAAAGGGTCACATCTCCCTCAAATATACACATCTAAGCAAAGAACCCCCAATATTGTGACCACTAAGATATATCAATGAATGGAAAACAGATTTGGGTGAGACCCTAGAAGGAGGAGAGTGGGAAGAAATTTGGGAAGCAGCCACAACAAATCTTGATCTGTGTATTATCTCAAGAACAGATGTTTAAAATTCTATTCAGATGGCACACAACCCCAGTTTGGTTACATAGAATAGGTAAAAGTCTAATAGACCTCTGCTGGCGACTTTGTGGTCACAGAGGTACATACCTACACATATGGTGGAACTGCCAAAAAATGATATGGCCTCTGGAAGAGCATAAATAATCTAGTGACTGATTGATCTCTCTCCATGGACCTTCCTCTTGTCTCGCCCGATTGAGGGAATTCCCAAACATATTCAAATTTTTAAAATTTTAATCACACTAGCAGCCTATAGGGTCCCTGGAGCCGGATGTCTCAAAACAGACACACTGACATTGCAAGTTGTTATTACAAAAATCAGAGACAGTGTGGTGGAAGATCTGACTTTAAAGATCAGCCATTAACACACAGCACTGTCTAAAGTATGGTTTCCCTGTAAAGAATTGACCTCCAATCATTTTTATAATAGCTGTAATTAACTCTCTGGGTATATTGTGCGTGGCGGTAACTTTTTCCTCCCCTCCTTCCTCTCCTTTTCCTTCTTCTATTATTTTTTTTTCTTACTCCTACCTCTGTTTATCAAAAAATATATACAACATATTTTGATACAGGTACATATTGGCTCAATAGTAAACACAGTAAGAAAAAAAAGTTTTGTATTTAAAGTATTTAAAAACTCAACTGCAGAACATATCATATATATTTTATAGTTAGCATAATATTTAATTACTCTCTTCTTTATGATACATAGTTAATTTAACATGTTAGGTGCCTATTCTGTCTAATTTGTACACTGTATTTCTACGTCTACCTCTCTTAAATTAACATTTTTTAAAATATTTATACTTTTCAAAATATTAACTCATTTTAAAAGTTTATCCCAAAAAATTTAATCATATGAAAAGCCTATCAAAAAATATTAAAATCGAGGCCAAAGCGAGGCCAGAGTAAGAATCCAGGATAAGGCACAGGGAATGTCAATCACAATAGTCAATCTATAAGTGAGGTAGGTTACAAAGACAGCATACAAATAATATGGAATTATTTTAGTCTAAACACACTAGGTAAAGTCCTAGATGCAGTGGCTCAGTGGGCTAGTTGTAGGCAAAAGCACAGTAAACCTGGTGTGATATCCAGATTCTTCATTTGGCAGTAACTCTCTGTGGACACTCATGATCAATATTTTTAAAACTGCATATCGTTAGTTAACATAGTCTTGACGAGAACATGATGTTTCACATAACTTACACAGTGACCCATATATTAATTACAGCAACAGCTGCTGTACTTCCAAGCAGGGGTCAGGCCAGTATTACAACTGAAATGCCTTCTTCATTTGCCGACTTCCAGCCAAAACACAAAAGCACTGGTTGATGTTTTTTTTATAAAGATAAAAATCTAACGTTTCTAGGTTACTTCCCCTCAGAGTACAGCTCTTTACAAAAGGACCACATTGACAGGTGTGAGAGTGAATAGTAACGTGTCACCTTGGCACATGGGACAAAATAAACAAACATTTCAAATTGTGAATTGTGGCGTGGTGTGTCATCACTAATCTCATTTTATGTGTGTTTGTCTGGAACATTGGTGTGTACACCTGATTCCCCTTTGTCAACCAGCAGAATGAAAAATAAATATTCATGAAAGGCGTCAAGCTTATTATATTTTTGGATTTTATCACAGGATCAGTTGCACTGTGAAAAGATAATGATTAATTTTCAGGATCCAAAAAGTCTAACTTGTGTTGTGCAACATTGTATTGTGTAATAATCAGAATACTAACAGAGTTGTAACATACAGATTTTGAGTTACAGAAATATAAACTGAATCTGCACGGAGATTAATGAAAAGCGTTATATCAAAAGTAGATATTGTAATGTGAAACAAGTTTTATTATGTCTTTTCATATTACACAAGAAATAGGTGCTGAGTAACAGGATGGCATAGTAGACTTTATTAAGCTCAGATACCGGCGCATAATTAAAAAAACAGTGATGCCGTCACAAGATGGCCACTGCACATAGAGTCTGCATACAGTTCAAGTGACCCTTCCCGAATGGTATTATTTCTTACTTTTAGATACATGCCATTTGATCACATGCTGGGAAGACAACAGTCTCTGCTGTGACCCTTGTAGTAGACCCATGATATAGTCAAAACAGTCACTGACTGTACTCTACTATTTTATTCCATGTAACTAATCAAGAGTCCATAATTTGATGCATTCAACAGATATAGAGTTGAAATCAAAGATGCCAAAGAACAATAAATGGGAAAGCAACCCTGAAGGGGGCTCCCAGAAGCTGGTATAAATGAAAAAATGAACACAATTACATCATCAAAAGATACCTTATAAACTGACTTGGAGGTCAAACATAATAAAAAAAATTATGTATTTATACAAGGAATAGGCACATAAACTACTTGGGGGTTATGTAAAGATAAGTCTCCTCAGAAAAACAACTGTATTAAATTTCTATCAAAAAAGGATACTATAATAACAATAACCCTCATAATAGTGCTATAAAATGCTATTTCACCTTAACTGGACCACAGGGGTAAAAGCTAACGGCTGATCATTGCTATAAAGGTATAATATAAGTGCAATAAGAGCCTTCCGTAAAAGCACAATTAATAAATGTGTTCGAATAATTCCTTGAAAATATCTGAGGTGGATGGACAGAAAAAGTAATAAATAAGGAAACCTTTTATGAATTGGATAGCCTAAGTAGAGAGAGCATAACTAGGGAAACTTCTGTAGACAGTTCCTCCTAGAAGGGTATGGGCAGAAAGTATGTAACGTTTTAACCATCGATACAATATTGCATTGGGGAAACTGCTACAAGCACTGCTATGCTAATTCCCTACAGTCTCCTATTAACACCTTCATGGGTGTTCTGAGCTAAAGCGATCTCTAAGGTCTGTAACTAAATGTCCCTATATCGATCACACCTCTTGGTTGTACTCCAAGTTAGAAGTTACATCGCCAAACTAACAAACAAGAGTGCAGGTAAAGAACGTAGGGGGAAGAGAAATTCCCTACTAGTGCATAGTGATGTGCTCAGTGTAGTGCAAGTGCTGAGCTAAAACCCTATATATAGAGTGTTGTTGTTGCTTTTAATCACAGGTGTTACAGTGAGATACCGTTAGCCTATGTAAGTAAGCCTCTTGTTCTGCACATCTAGTTGGTTGAGAAAATGTTGACAGGTGTTAGCTAGGAGATTTGAATAATAGGCAAATGGGGCAACGGGTGATCCTTTTTTTCTGGTGCTTTTCATTCCTTTATGCTTTTTATGCTGTTCTATTAATTTTATATATATTGCATTATGAATTATGAATGAATGATCCCATTTTTGCAATACTCATTACTAAGCACCGTTAGTTCAACACTGATAAAAGGGTTTACTGGTCAATTGGTTACATTTAGTCTTGCATCTATGTAACCACTAGACTACTATTCACTCAGTGCTCTTCAAGAACATTTTCTTTTCTTTTTGATTATAGTCTATTTTGTTTTATGTTGCATGCCCTTTATAGATTTGTCTGATTATTTCTTCTTTTTAAAAAAAAAAAAGTGCCTTAATCAATTTTATACACTTTCATTATGACCATTTGCTTGACACTTGTTTAAGTATTGCATACCTTGTATTTTGTGCACTCACCTGAACAAAAATGAGAATGACAAAAAAACATATTAATAAATTGTAATTAACACAACAGCAATTTATGCCCTACATGCATATTTTCTAATCAATAAGTGATGCATTAATTGATGGTATAATGACTGATTTGCATGTATCAACACGCAGGAATATTATTCAAACACAGAGCCTTAGCACAGTTTAGCTATTGTGTGCGTGACTGGATTAAAAAAAATATTTTTTTTAAAATATCGCAATCCTAATTCCTGGGCCTCTAGTGCCTATGGCAACCGTCTGGTCTCCATGGAAACTAATCTCGTGGTATTTGAACAATGTTGAAAGGGGACATTTAATCTTCCAGACACTGAAACTCTTTCTTGGGATCTGCTTTCTGAACAGCAGAAAACGGGAAAAAAATACATATATCAAACAACAAAACAAGAAACATGCAGTGAAGGTTGAAGATTAATTTAAGGGAATCATTGCATATTGTGTGTAAAATGGAAATGTATTTTTATGTATCTATAAAAGGAGTTAGACATTTTTCCTAACCTCAAAAAATTGCAGTACAGAAAACCTTTTCTTAAATGCCTAATTAAACTATTTTTGTAACAGAAGAAAAATATTAATTATTTTAGTTGTTTACTATGAAAAACATTAGATAATGAAAAAGCAAATGAGATGACTTTTATGACCCAGTTTGCTATTTTTGCATTATATATGCATTTATTATTTCCAGGTATATAAATAGATAACACACTGGTCCTCTAAAATGCCAACACTCCTGTTTCTCAACTCGTGGCATGCGTACCCCACGGGACCATGGGCAAGGAGTAGCAGAGGTGGAATCCTTCCTCTTTAACAGCAGTCAAATTATCTCACTCTGTGACCCTGCATCTGATTACTGTACATAGGGAGAATGTGGTCTGCTCCTTTTGTGTCAGCTCCATCCCAGGCCCAGCACTCCTGCTGGGATACCATGGTAATGCTAAGTCATTCCCTTTGCGAAGGACCAGATGGGAGCAATTACAACAATCTGCACCACACAATCTTCCATGACTGACATCACACCATCTCGCCAAAAGGAGAGGTAGGTCAGGAAGGGTGATATGGGTGGCACAGAGGAGGTGGAAGGCATGCCTCCATTGGCTGTCTGCCACCGCATGCTCTATGTGATAATGCCAGCTGTCAAATATGCACCAAATTCACATTATCCACCAGTAAATCTTGCGTTACGGGCTGGCTAATGATTCCTCAAGGACCCAGTTGGATGTTAAAGGGACACTAAAGTCACCAGAACAATTACAGCTTATTGTATTTGTTCTGGTGAGTAATCAGTCCCTCAGGCTTTTTACAGGAAACAGTCTTTTCAGAGAAAAGGCAGTGTTTACATTACAGGCTAGGGACACCTCCAGTGGCCACTCCTCAGATGGCTACTAGAGGTGCTTCATGGGGCAGTGCTGCACATTTAGTGTCTCCACCCTCTGCACGGAGACACTGAACTTTCCTTATAGAGATACATTGATTCAATGCACCTCTATGAGGAGATGCTGATTGGCCAGGGCTGTGTTTGGCTTGTGCTGGCTCTGTCCTGATCTGTCTCCTTGACAATCTCAGCCAATCCAATGCTTTCCTATGGAAAAGCATTGTGATTGGCTGAGATCACCACTTCTGATGATGTCAGTCAAGGAGGCAGATCAGGGGCAGAACCAGCAGTAGCAGACTGGAAAGATTTTACTATACTATACTTTACTATAAATTTTAAAGATATGATTTTACTATATTTAGGGGGCAAGATGGTGTTTTTAACACTAGAGGGTCAGGAATACATGTTGTGTTCCTGATCCTAAAGTATTCCTTTAAGCAATACTGCTGGAAGCAGAGGGGTTACACTCTGTATGTGCACCACTGATGAGGTCATGGTGCTTGTAATAAATATTTAAGCACTGCAAATCACTAGGATTTTTTGTATCCAGTAATCAGGAGATGGGTAATAACTTTCACCCAATCCTGGTCTTCACATGGGTTGCCTGTGGAATTTTATTGGATATGAAGCTCTCTTAGCAAAGCTGAGCATGATTTACTCAGACCTGGTGGTTGTGGTTTCATTAATGGGGGAAAAAAATAATGAAATGACACAGATTAATATGATTCACAGGTATCTTTTATTAACTTTCACAATAGTTTAATTAATGCATTATATAAAACCACAGGAAAGTCACAGTACAGTTTTCAGCAGAAAGATGTGAGAAAGCTGTAAATATCCCATAATCCTGCGTGATGAAGAGATTTATGGAAAACAAACAGCTGTATCAGAATTTCCTACTGGAATTGTAAAAGAAAGCAGTCATGTTTTGCTGTATTGAACTGGGGACTTTCACAAATGATACTAGAAAAAGCTGGGCCGAACACTGCAGGCTAGGTATAAAAGAAACCTATAGGGTGCTAACAAAGAAATAGGGATCCACTTCAAAAGCCTGATAACCTTGAGATAATTAGGGAAACATTATGGATCATGCTGTTTATTTTACTTTCATATAAGACTGATGATGTGCAAAACTATGTAATTAAATCTGGACATGAGAGTTTCAGGAAGTTTTCGTTCCTTGTTGAAGATGCTTGTATTTCTTCCCTTCCTTCTTTTAAAAATGATATATAATGGCATCATGCAAAATAAAATTATCCATTTTAATTGCCGGAGAGTTCCTTTAATTCTTAGCATTGGTCTATGTAATTACTTTTTCTGTGCTGCAGAAGCTGTGAAATACTGTTCTTGACATTTTTATAAACAACATCACAGCATTTATCTCTCTTCCTTCTGTATTTGCTGCTCAGGAACACGCTCTTGTGTCACCGAACAAGTTTTATTGAATCCCAGAGCACAAGTATATTCATGTGAATACAGCTACAATTATTTTGTCATAATAAACAGAGACTAAAAAAATAGATAATCCATTTAAGCTCTCTAGGAGCTATTTATTAAAACAAGTTCTAATTTAAACATGTACAGGGCAATTCACTAAAGACCGATAAAATGGTTATTAATTTGTCGCTTACCTATTTATGTCACATTCCATTGCGTATATAATAAATTAACAGATAACAGGCATTTTCAGAACAAAAAGCACTTTTGCTATCAAATATTACCCCTTAGTGATCAGGCCATTTTTCAATTTTCTTACCATTAAGGACCAGGGCTGTTTTTACATTTCTGCGGTGTTTGTGTTTAGCTCAAATTTTCCTCTTACTCATTTACTGTACCCACACATATTATATACCGTCTTCTCGTCATTAAATGGCCTTTCTAAAGATATCATTTACTATAAAAGAAAATTATAAAATATGATGAAAAAAAATGAAAAAAACACCACACTTTTTCTAACTTTGACCCCTAAAATCTGTTTTGCATCTCCAACCGCCCCAAAAAACAAAACGTACTAAATAGTTGCTAACCTTTGTCCCGGGTTTAGAAATACTTAATGTTAACATGTTATTAGCTTTTTTTTGCAAGTTATAGGGCAATAAGTACAAGCAGCTATTTCCAAAGCATTTTTTGTTCAAATTAAACAAAAGTTACATTTTGACACTGATATCTGTCAGGAATCCCTGAATAACCCTTCACATGTATAGATTTTTTAAAAGAAGAAAACCTAAGGTATTAAGCTTGTGACTCTTTTCATGCAACCATTTTACCACCAAATTAAAAAAAAAAATAAAAAAATAATAATAATAATAATAATAATTAGTGATTTTGACACACATAGCAATTTAAGAATACATGTACTGAAAATTGTAAGAGTTACTGCCAAAGAACACCCCAATATGTGTTCAGCAACATCTCCTAAGTACAGTGATACCACCCCTATATAGGTGTGTTGAGTTCTCTAGGGGCTAAAAGAACTTATTTGGAGGGTGCGCATTACAGTTTTGAACTTGAGATTTTCACAGCTGGCCATCATGCACCCATGTCCTATTTGGGACATTTTTGAAGCCGGACAATGTAATTTACCCCCATCAAACCCTATATTTTTTAAAAGTAGACACCCTAGGGTATTTCAAATAGTGGTATTTTAACACTTGCCATGCGCTAATTCTACCACCTGTCTTTGTCAAACTTTTGGGTAGTCATTTTTTTGTGTTATTTTTCTCTCAAATTGTACTTTAGGCCTGGATTCTCAGTTTCTATTATGTGTTACTGACAAAGAACACCCCAATATGTGTTCAGCAACATCTCCTCAGTACAACAGTGCCCCCAATGTGAAGGTTTTATGGGTTTTTGCAAACTTACAGAGGTCAAATGTAAGGCTTTCCCCTTTTCCATGTTTGCACATTGAAATTTGCCAGATTGGTCTGCTTGCCCTATGTTGCCTTTGAGACCGTATGGCAGCACAGGAATAAAAATTAACCCCATTATGGCATACCATTTGTAAAGGTAGACAACGTACGGTATTTAAAATGGGGTATGTCTAGTCTTTTTTAGTAGCCACTTAGTCACAAGCCCTGGCCAAAATTCGTGTTTATATTAGTTTTTTTTAATTTTTTCACACATAAACTGCCATTTCATCAAGGATATTATCAGTATATTACATTTTACTGCTGTTAAATATAGGCTTGCCAATTAAATTCTCTGGACTATCTGCCTGGGTTGTCAGGTAGGTCCCTCAAATTATAATTAATAAAATCAAATAATTATGTAGTTAAGAGTTAAATATATTTGTAGAGTGTGTATGTGTGTGTATATACGTATATACACATATATATATATATAGCACCTGGCTATAAGACTGGGAAGCTGGAGTGCTAAACCTACAAAGTGTATATATTATATATAGTGACGGTTCGCCGTCTGCTGCTGATTGGCTGGAATGTGTCTGCTGACTGTGAGGTACAGGGTCAAAGTTTACTCAATGATGACATAGGGGGCGGACCGAACAGCGCATATGTTCGCTGTCCGCGGCGAACCGTTCAGGACATCACTAATTATATATATTAATATTAAAACACAATTAGAATAATGGATTGTGTATGTGTATATAAAAAAGTACATGGCTTTTCCGGCCATGTGATCGCGAGCACCCCGCAATCACACATGGCCCGGGGGTCCGGACCAGCCACAGGGGGGCTGCCTGGGAAGCCAGCGATCAGGTAAGTGCATAGTTTGCCGTGGACATACCATTTTTTGGCGGACATACCTGGTACGTCCGCAGTTGGGAAGGGGTTCAAGGACCAGTTTGGTCACCTGGTCCCTGGTTGCAACGGTCCAATTTAACTGTTCAGGGCAAAACATTGAAGTTTTGCAGAAATGGCAATGTTACAGTATATGTGAATGAATATCATTAAATAAATATCAATTGAATATGTGAAAGTGACTCCTTTAGACTACAAATCTGCCAAATCTCCCTAACACTAGAATCATAAAAATCCTCCAACTTCCCAAGTCTGTGTCTTCCTAAAACTGTCCACTTTAAGTCGGTGAATTACCAGCCACTATCTCTTCAATATTAGATATCCACAATGTTACTGATGAGTTCTTCTTTAAATAGCACCCGGATATCCAATAGGTTTTGGCCAAGATAAATCATCCAGGGGCTGTAATATATATTAATCTAGACATAATGAATATAAACAGACACCTAATTTTGCCTCCCACTTTTGACTGACCAAACACTGAGTGTGATACTGTCACCAGGATTGCTCCCACTGGTCTAATTTATATTTCATTGAGCTTTCTAACATTTGAAAGTACTCAAGATTGCCATGACGTTTTAGCAAAACATAGTGGCCTTTATCAAGTCTTGATAAATGGCTACTACATTTGATGAAACGTTGTCATGGAGATCTTGATCCTATTAAGTCTGCACTGTAAGGAAATCTGTATGCCAGGACTCTACTTACTTCTTTCAAGTGATCATTTGGAGATTCACCATTTCTTGGGTATGGAGTACCATTATACCATTATTGGGTGTTATTCAACATGTGTGCAGTCCCTACTTCATGCTTTTTAAGCATTCTACCATGTCACAGTCATACAGATAAGAAAATCAGGGGTCTAGCATTAAAAGGAACATTAATAAAAATCATAAAATGCTTCTACGGCCTAAACCACAGTCAGTGGTTTATTTGACTGATAAGCTTGCGGACTGTCCTAATCTTTCTTTTTACATCTGATCGTTAATATACAAATAAGGCTGCTGCACCAAAAAACAATTTCAAAAAGGTTAACTATTGAAGGGTGAATTGCCAGGACTTCAAAGCAAAATTGTACAGAAAACATTGTTAAAACGGAGGAAATTTCCGCTCTTTATATTTTGCCTGAAATTCACACTGAATTAATGACAACTTAGATTTTAATAAGTTACCCTGATAGATATGGGAAAGGCATACATTATATCTGTATATTCTCTAATTAATAGTTATTATGCCATTAAGAAATTTATCAGACATTGCAGTGTTTACCCTGGTACTGATTAACACTTTTATATTTATATAAATAGTGTAAACATTGAGGCAGTAGTTAGATCATAGTCTGCCAACAAACAATGCTTTTACATTATTGCTAGCAGATTATTTTAGACCTATGACTGGAACAACAGCTAGGAGCATCTAATATGTGGATTATGAAATACTAGCATTGTCCCTAAAATCATCATACAATTAACAGATCTATGAAGTACAAGTTTGTTTTATTTGGGTACAAACAGATATTTAAAGGAACAATCCAGGAACTATAACCACAACGGTGCAGTTTTAGAATGGATTTACCTGGGGCCGCTCCCTGTCTTCCCTTAGAAGGAGTGTCCATTAATTCTCCTAAACTAAGCCTCGCAGTGCAGGACTAGCTCACTGGCTGAGAGCATCAGCTGATCACCCTCAGCCAATGACCTAAACCCTGTACCACCGGCTTAGTTCAGACAGAAAGCTTCCAGGTCTCCATTTGTGGAGGCATGGGAGCAGTGTCAGGTGGACCCTAGCCACTAAGTCAAACTATTCTAAAATGTTTTGACTATTTACAATGGACACGGGCACTCCTGGCACCATAACCTTTACATCATTTTTTAGTGGTTATGGTGCTAGGAGTTTTTTTAAATAGGAAAAGTCCCTTTAGGAAAGGCAGTCGAGAAAGTAAGTATCAATGTTGAGATTAAAGGGATCCTATAGTGCCAGGAAAACAAACCAGTTTTCCTGGCACTATAGGCTCTTGGAGAGCCTCTCTCCCCTCAGGGCCCCCCTCCCTCGGTGCTGAAAGCGCACGTGCATTCAAACCTGCCCCTAGGAAAGCATTACTCAGTGCTTTCCTATTTGGGATCTTATTTGACGCTGGACTCTGTGAGGATGTCCAGTGTCAGATAAGTGTGATTTACTCAGTGAAAATCGCTGAAGCGGCCTCTAGTGGCTGTCAGGGAGACGGCCACTAGAGGCTGGATTAACCCTGCAGTGTAAACAAAGCAGTTTCTCTGAAACAGCTATGTTTTCAGCTGCAGAGTTAAAACTGGTAGGACCTGGCACCCAGACCACTTCATTGAGCTGAAGTGGTCTGGGTTCCTATAGTGGTCCTTTAATGCATAATTTGGATCATCAAAGGAATATGTGCATTTTAAAAGATTTATTGAAATGTTGAAATTAGATATGAAAATATTAAATATGAGCTATTAATGCTAATAAATTACTATAATATAAAGGACTCAAAATTAAGGAATATACTTCAGATCTGTCTCCCCTATCAGTCAGTCCGCCTGTCTGATGGTATGCAGGCTGATTATGGCAGCAAGTGAAGTAAAGTGCCAGTACCCTGCTGCTCCATTGTTTAGTCCTATTCTTGATGGCAGCCGTGCAGCCACTGTTAATAAGTTTCAAAACAATACTAAGAATCTGAGAATCCTGCATGGAGGGTCAATGGCACACTTGTCAGGGCTGAATTTCTATTCACCAGGTGAGCAAGTGGAATTTTTGAGCCCTGTTTATAATATATATTCGTTTGCTCATGGAAGCTAAAGCTTGAGAATTTGTAAATGGAGAAATGCATGTCGTCTACTTATTACTGCTAATGAATGTGTGAATGTGTGTGAGCGTGCATGTGTAACCATATAATACTGTGTGTAAATGTGAGAGTTAATAGAACTCCTGTGTGTCTGTCTGCATGTCTAATTTGGGTGATTGTGATGCATTGATGGTTATTTTAACAACGCTCTGCCTGCTTGCTCTGTATACGTGAGCAGTTAGACTCATAAATCTGAATTATGGACTAATCATGGTGCGGCTATAAAACACTCAAAGAGACCTGAGGACAGGCAAGCTCTAGGGAGGTTTAATAAAACAGGCCAGCATTTAGAACGGACTGGGGGTGGCGCAAAACACTGTTGCTATTGTTATTAAATATTGTATTCGTTTTGATTTACAGAGTGTTTTTTAATATTACGATTATCTGTAATAGAAGAGTTTAATATCTTCCTTGGACTGCAATCTCCACAGAGCAATGCCCTAATACTTGCTGTAGCAGTGCATCTTAATGTTCGTGTTTATTGTTACTGCGTTACACCCCACTGCTATCCCTGCAGGATATATCAGCACATTACGGTTAAATAATATTATTCTGCTTCCAAGTATCTTGAGATAGGAGCATATTCCTTGATTTGTAAAATGAATCTCCACGCGTTCTGCTCAGAACAAGCTTTGTATTTCACAAGGTAATGTAGTAGGACACGAGTAAACAGACCATAACCACTGCTTAGTATATAAATGACTGGTGCAATGTTACAGCCAAATCTTGCATTTTATCCATTTTTCCTTTTGCAAATATATTTTAATAGTATATGCATATTAAGTGATATGAATAGTCAAGGTTTCACTATAACTGCACAAACATAGAAAGCCACAAGTTAGAGATTTATTTTAAAGGGTTACTCCAAGCCTTATTATCACTACAGCCTGGAGTAGTGGTTATGATGTCAGGAGTACCTGGTGCTGTTCCCAGATAATGGAGTAAACGGTTAGCCCTCCTACCTGGGACCAGATAGGTACCTGGTCCCCTCCCTCGGAAGCTATTCAAGCACATCAGGCTTCTGCAGAGCTGCAGTAGCCAAATGCTGATCCTGGCTTTCATTCATTCCATCAGCTGAGCACTCCCAGCCACTGAATGACACTCACGATGTGCACAGAATTTGCTCAGAACTAACTAGAACTGACATGCTAACCACGCTGCCAGGGGTGGAGTTACACCTAAATATCTGATTCATATTGAAACACTGTACGTACAGACTCCAGGCATCATGATCATTTCAAATCACTGAAGTGGTCATGGTGCTTGGAGTAACACTTTAACTAATTTCCAGCTTCCTGTTGAATTTTTCCTATAACTGCTATTTCACTTTTATTTTTGTGATTTCTGGTAAAAGCAAAAGAAGAGAAATCAACACGGGATTGATAATCACAGGTTACATGAAAGGTCTCTAGCACGTTATTGGCAGTGTAACCCAGTACCCAAGAGTGAAGGTTTCATAGACTTTTCAAAGTCAGCCACTGCCTGTATGTTGAGTTTGTAGATTGTGTCCAGTGAATGGAGACGAATACTCTTGCTGCATTAATTAGTTAATGTTTGCCTAAATGAAACAACTAATGTATTGTAATAAATTATTAGTGTAAATGCTATGAGGATTTTCTTTTAGCTTTTTCAATACAATTTTTCGGTAGTGTTGCAAGATTACTATGCATAATCTTGCATAAAAAGCTGTGAGCAGCATTTTCACCTTGCAAGAGAAAAATCAATATAATTGTGTTATTTTACTAAGATTTCCTACTGTAACTAATCATTTGTGTTTATTCCTTCTTATGAATACTACATACTGCGATAGAGCATTATATTCACATACGCGCAATAAGCATCCTGCAAAAAGCATATGCATCCTGTTTCTTACCGATCTCACAGATATAGAATCGCCTGATTCTGGCAACACGGATTTCAGTGTAACCCCACAATTTACTTTTTCCATCACCTGCCGCCAGTTACACGGTAAATCTCGCCACCAACATTTAAGTCGGTTCACTATGGATTATATAAACGTAAGGCAGCATTTAACAGAGTTGTGTTTGCCTTACATTGTTTCCGTAGACCCTTTTTCTGCCCATTTATTTATATAAGAAGTGTGTGTTTATTATCATCTTCATAATTATATTACTGAATAACTTTGTTATTATATTACAATTATTACTGGCATTCATTGTTATTATTGTACACCAATTTATTTCAAAATTCACATGATGGAATCAAAGCGGATTTTTCTTGTTAGACAATGTATGCATTTTAACCCCTACTTAACTGGAATGCAATGAATTGTAGTCATTACAAGTACTGGAAGAATTAACTGGAAGGTTATGGTTTGTTCTTCTGTGCAGATCAGGACATGTCTAATTGCCTTTAATTCCCACCAGATGGAGGAACCCTGATATTATTTATACTCAAGGATAGGTTTACGATGATCAAAGCACCAAACTCTGCGTCCAGGCTGCCTAGAATAGCAAATTCTTTTCTCAGTATATACCCGCAAACTGTGCTTCAAGGCACTGGCTAATCTGAGCCAGTAATGGTGCCAAGCTATCATGTGGTGTGGATAACCCAAGGGATTTTTTTCTAAAAAGCAGACAGGACACCAGGCTACGTTCATCTCTACAAAAGCTATTGTGTAGGTAAACAGTAAGAGGGTTTAAGAAAATTAAAGTAAATATTTAAACATTAATTTATGGAGACTGTATGTTGAGTATGTTCTGCTTAGTGACGAGATATTGGAGATGTGGTGTAAGCACACTCAACAGCTGTCCCTGAACTACAGCTCCAATGATCCTCACTCAGTTTATGATAAGTGAGGATGTTCTCCAGGAAGATGGATCACTTATCTAACCTACTGCTGGCCTTCTTCCATCCTCTCATAAAGCCCATTCAGATAGTTTTACATATTGACAATACTGGTCCTCAAATTAGCCATAACAGACAAGGCATACTTTGCTACTGCCTGGTATTTCTATGGGAATCACAGATGATTTTGGGAGGTTTTAGGTGGTATGTCATTATTCTCTGCCGAGGAAATTATTCCTTAACAACAACAGAACTGAAACCTCCAATCTTCATACAGTAGACTAGTGGCTGCATGCCCTTCTTGTTAATGAATATTTTTTCCCAAGCCAGCCACTTAACCAGACAGGGAGACCCGCTCCACGTGAAATTGGAGACCCGGCAGTAAATGCAGAGCTTCGTTTTGAGACAAGCTATCTATATAATAGTGTCTATGTGCTTTTTATTTGCATAGATTGTTATGGATCTAGAAAAATGCCCTACCTAAATTCTAAAAGGTAGACACATATGTACACACAAACAGATGCACACATTTACAAATATGCATACAGTGACAAATACCTGTACACATTTAAGCCAATAGCTTCTGCAAAGATACTGACCCTGGTGCCTTGATTACTGACTGATCTGAAAAAAATTATAATTTTTTACAACTTGGATGTAGGCATTTGGGATGGTATTATTGTGATTGGTGTATGGAGTTTACTCTCTATAGCACTGATAGGGTAAAGCAGTGTCTGATCACAATATAATTTTGCCTCTTTATAAATCAATGGTAAGATCCCATCTTGAATAGATGTTGTAACCAATTTTAAAGAAGGATATTGCAGAACTATATAAAGTGCAGAGGTAAGGGGGATTGAAAGCATTAGTTATAAAGAAATGCTAAAAAAAAAAATGGATTTGTTTTCTTAAGGGGAAAAAAAAAAGCACCTCAGAGGAGATATGATAGCACTATACAAATATATACATGGTCATTACAAACTGCTATGTGCTAACCTGTTCATTAGCAAGAATATACAATAAGAGGTCACCTATTGAGACTTATGACAACAATAACAGTGATGAATTCTCTACCTAAAGAGGTTGTCTTATCAGATTACATAGATAATTCAAACAAAGCCTGTTTTGCAAAAAAAAAACACGTGTATATATATATATATATATATATATATATATATATATATATATATATATATTCAAAAAAATAATGAATATGTATGTGAACAGGTTGGTTGTCAAAAAAGAAACTGGATTGCCATTGCCATGGAGTCAAAAAGGATTTTTTCCCACTTTTTGTAAAAGGCTACAATGGGGGGAGGTTGCCTTCTGTTAGATTAGCAGCTTAAAGGGATACTATAGTCCAGGAATACAAAGATGTATTCCTGGCACTCTCTTCTCCTGTCCTTTTTTTACTTACCTGATCACAGCAGCAATGTCCCCCGGCGCTGGGTCGAAGCTCTGCCCCTCCAAGTGGGCTCTAATGCGCATGAGAACTCTCCAAGGAAAGCATTGAATCAATGCTTTACTATGGGAAAAAATCTGATGCCGTCAGATACCGGACCAAAGGTGCATTTCAATTCAGGAAGCCCTCTAGTTTCTCTGGAACTACAATGTTTAACAATGCAGCATTAAGTGCAAAATGGACCAGTAACCGAGACCACTTCAATGAGCTGAAGTGGTCTGGGTGCCTACAGTGCCCCTTTAAAGGAATGGGTGTCAAAGGTTGGTTTAGTATTTTTCAACCTAGATTACTATGTAACTATGAGACATTATACAATAACACTAACTCTCTCCTTTTACAATGCAAATTACTGTATTAGATGATTTATTAAAAAGACACTCCAAGCACCAAAACCACTTAATCTTAATGAACTGTTGGTGCACAGACCATGTACCCTATCTCTGGCAATGTAAAACATTGTGAGATCTATGAAATGTTTACATTTGTAAGAGAGCAGACCTGTAGAGGCCATCTCATGAAGTTCTTTATCATGAAGACCCTCAAAAATTAAGTATTTACCAACTATCTCATGGACAAATTAACTGCACAGGTCCGGAACACAGTCTCCACCTTCACCAAGGTATGAGAGCTGTGGGAACAATACGATGATTCAGCACTAGACGCATGAGAGATGCCCGAGCACACAAGCACCTCCACTCGCATTAGGGCCTAATATCTCCACTAAGAGAACGTAATGAAAGCCGTCTAGAATCGCAGAGCCGTTATTGTACTTTTCCGTTTTGTTCTAAATTACTTTATTGTTCATATTAACTTTAAAAAACTGACAGACTGTGACTGTATGGCACTCCAACTGGTATTACAACGCATAACTACTCAAAGATATTTTCAAGTTTGTACAATGCCATATATGATGCACATATGAACATTGGCTTCTAAGCAAGCCTTGGAGTATACCTGTCTTACTTTCTGTCAACGCAAAAATAAAGATTTAAAAAATTTAAAATAAAAATGGAATATTTACACTCTGTATCATCACACCCAGCATGGTGATAAAGCATCCGATTGACAGAGTGAGGCAACTGCCACATATCCAACATAGGTCTTCAGTGCTTCTCTATAAAAAGTTATTGGCATGAAAAGGAGAGGGCAGTAGATCAAACAATAATAAAAATGCTATAATGTTATATATATATATATATATATATATATATAATTATTACATTTATTTATTGTCATTAGAGTGTTCCTTTAACACTTTCCCAACATTAGGGAGTACCACGCCGTCCTACAAAAGGAGAGCTTTAAAGTCGTTGGAGTGGCATAGGAGACCCTTATGATTGGCCCAGCATACTTACCCTCCCTGGCAATCGCGATCGGAGGACCTGTCTGAAAACCCAAGCAGTCCCCCTACATCCAATCCACATCATGTGATATATAAGTATATTTTGATTAAATTTTTTTATTTATTATATAGGTAGAAAGTCCAGAGAATGCAATCTGCAAGCCCTATATTTGACACTGTAATGTTCCAAAACACTATAGAACCTGTGGATCGGGGGCACCTTTACACTCATGAGACATTGCTGAACACAAATATGAGTGTTTTAGAGCAGTAAAACGTATAATGACAATATTATCTGTAAAAGAGAAGTTTTTCAGAGAAAAATGCAAAAAACACAAATAAACACTAACTTTGGCCATGGTTTGCAACTAAGTGGCTACTAAAAAGGACTGGACATACCCATTTCAAAATACCCTATTTTTGCAAATGGTGTGCTATGATATGGGTAATTTTCATTCCACAGTCTAAAATGCAACATAGGCCCAGCAAACTAATCAGGAACACTTCAATGTGTAAAAACTGAAATGAACAAGCTCTATTTCACCCGGCAACTTTATGTAACACCAAGAAGCCTGTACATGGGGGGCATTGCTGTACTCGTGGGACGGCATACAAATATAACAAAACACGTGTTTTACTGCAGTAAAAGCTAAAAGTATTATGAATTCCACAGTTGGAAAATCTAGATTTTATTTTGATTAAGTACCTGGACAAATGCTTCTGTCCTTAAGTGGTTAATAAATCTAGCTGAGTGCGAAGGAAAGAAACAGAACAGTGATCACTGCAGACAACTATAGCAAGACATTGTAACAAGATAGAGTAAATGTGTGCAGCCAAAATGAACAGGTGGTCAAGCCATCTCTATTGTCTCTGGATCAAAATAAATATATTACTGTTTTCTGACCTACACAAATTTATATAACAATCCTTACCACAGAGTATTCCATGGATTATCTAATTACTTATTTAATTAATTGTTGCAATTAGAACAATGCATGATGAAGGGCTAAAACACAAACCCGCTTTGCAAATACTCATAGGAAGTGTGAATTAATGATAGTGGTAAAGTGGTAGCATTTGATACAATGCAGTCAGTGAAACATATGTCTACTTATGTGTAATCTCAGGTGCAATCAAGTCAACTGGTGCAGGATCCCAGTAAACCTCTATAATAGCCGATTTACTAGTTACCAGAATAAAACGGCATATCTCATCAAATCAGTTACACTTGGAAGTCAGGAAAAAAACACGGTCATATTAATTAACACAGTTTGAAGCCTGACAAGTGTGTATGCAGAACTATAAATATTAAACTGCCAATATGCCCTTTTCCTAGTAATATTACCCATTGTTATTTTCTGATTATCATACATAAACCCTATCTCTCTGATGCAAGTGTGCCTATCTGTTTATAAATCTTTTCAGTGAGCTGCCTTAACCAAGACTTTCTTAAAACATTATTAGTCTCTGTTACCTTCCGCTGAGCTAGGATTGTGCAAGGATCATATTCAGGTTTAGCATATAGATATAGTGTAATAACAGGTGCAGGTAGTAGACGTCTGCCTGTAATGTATGTAGTTTACCTTCCTTCACGTGGACTGGCTTTGTGAACTGGTCTAATCAGCCTGTCAGTAACCATGATGTAGTACCACATGGACAATAGTAGCTTATGGGTGTGTGTGTTCTAAAGATACAGTAGGTTGTGGAGTGTGTGTTGTAATTATCTGCTAAATGCAAAAAACAAACATTTTTTTATGTGTGTAGGTACAGTGTTTTGTTTGTGTTGTGGCATCCTTTCGAATGAATGTATGTATCCATTATATGTTGTATGTGCCCCATAAGATGTGTGTACGTGTGCTTTATGTATAATGCCCCTTCTTTCTGTAGGCAAGTATTTTGCGCAACAGTTGTTTTCTTCCGGCTTTGCAAGGGATAAAGCATATTTGCTGAACTACTTTGAATGTTAGGATGCATGCATTAGAGGTCTATTGGTTTTACCAGGCACAATAAATTGTGCAGCTGCCTTTTTTGCATAGAGTTGAAATACAGCATGTTTGGCATTATCTTCGCCTTCTTATAATGAGTGTAAGGCTAGTAGCAGACATAGATTGAAATGTAGATCTTCCTATACCTGAGGGTTCAATGGGGATAAATCACGCAAATTTTTTATTGACCAGTATCACACTAGCGGGTGACACTCAATCCACATGGTATCATTGTTTCCACTTTCCTACTAACTACCAATACAGGTATGTACATCTAATGATCATTGCTGTGGTAAAGTTTAGGTAAACATAAATGTTCTTATGGTTTACTGATTCTGCATTGCCGAGTCCTCCTATACATGAATGCAAGTATATTTTAGACATGACCTTTCAAAAGTAAAAGAAATAACATAAAATCTGATTGCCACATAAAATCAGTCATCTAAGCAAGATTACAATACCATGTATAGATCTGACGAGACAGTGCATTTCTTTATTCTAGTACCCACGCACTGCATCATATAAGCACTAAGATACATTACTATTTGATTGATCTAATATATCCATTTCTAAAAGGGAGCACAAGGGCATACATGAAAGGAAACTCCAAACACAATAACCACTACAACCCTCTGTAGTGGTTATGGAGACAAGAGCTCAGGTGCCGAGGTGCCATCCCACAGTAATTAGTCAAACCCTTTTAGTACTGTGCTCCTGACAGACAACTGCATCCACAGCACCTTCATCCAGTCTTCACCTGCAGGACAATCAGGCTAACTCTACAGAACTTAGCCAAGCAGGACTATGCTCAGTGACTGAGAGCATCAGCTGATCGCTCTCAACCAACCAACCAACATGTTCCTGGGTCAGCGATGCTTCACTGTAAAAAGACATGTGTCTTTTTCTATAAGAGAAAACCAGATGCAGCATGGGAGCCCAAGCAAGTAGGTTTCCAAACTCCTGGCACCATAAGCACTAGAGCACATTGTAGTTAGAGAGTTCCTTTAAAAAGTTAACGTAGTGGGTCCCATTATTTTTAATCCAATGGCAGATGGTATATTTTGACACATAACTGCTATTGTATAAAAAAGTTTTTTTTTTTTCCCACGGGAAAAGTGCAATTACAACACAATAAGAGTTTGTGTCTTTGCCTATATATATATATATATAATTACCACCAAAAATACACTCATGTACACCAGCTGCAGAAAAATGGAAAAGTAATCTAATCATAATTATTAGTTATTAATTTTCCCACAGATTATGTCAAAATGCACTAACAAAAAAATGCACCATTTTTACGAGACTTGGCATCCGGAAGCGCATGAGCACAAGGATGAGTACACCACACACTGAGTGCTTCTGAAGCCATAATGTACTTGTTCAAATACAATAAAAAGAGATGGAATTACCAGCACGGGAGCTATTATCACAGGGACACTGTAGGCATTTCATTGTATAGGCTATAGTACCTGGAGTCCTCTGTCCATACATTCAGTGTTAAAGGACAGCCTTAAAGATAAAACCATGTATTATTAATGCTAAAGTGTCCGTATTTAGATTCAGACCTCCCCATGCAAAAAAACTGAGAGGCATTGCTTCCACAATGATGTGTGTGCGAGGCGACGGCAAGTCCAATCATATGGTTTTTATAGGTAGGCACGGAATCCAATGAGCTGCATTTGAGGACGTTCAATGTCCCTATGGATGTTGAACATCACATGACCAAGTGAATCTCAGTCATTGCAACACAAGAGCCTATAGTGGCTGTCAGGAAGACAGTAACCCTTCAATGAAAACATGGTGCATCTACTATACAGCAATGTTTTAGGTTGAAGGGCAAACATTAAAGGTCCACTGCACCCAGACCACTTCAATAAGATTAATTTAACTGCTCGAGAAAGCATTAGATAAAATCCTTTGTGACAGACTATACAAAGTGTGCCATTGGTCATTAAAGGGGACCATGCCCACTACAAATGTAACAAAACCTTAAAGTGCTACTAAGAACACAGAGACTATTTTACAGCATTTACAAATCAATAGGCAAATGTCTCCATACCTTGACACGACTCCAGATATGTGAATTTGCATGTGTTGCTTCCAGTCAGGGAGGAGGGCGGACCAATTTTGCTAATTGCGCTTCACGCCCAGCTCTCTTACATTGCAGGATATAGCTTGCTGGGGGGAAAAAGAATACATATGTACGAATTGATTAACTTTTACAATTTACAGAAACATATATCAAACAAATAAAACTAGAATTTTTGCCTTTAATTTGATCTTTTTTTTACTTTTTTGATAAGAGCTTTGTCCTAGAATCAAATCTGCAACTAATTCTGTAGCGTTGGGGAACTATGTAATAAGCTATGTTTAATATTTATATTACTTTTCTTTCTGTAAGTATCATTCATTGTGCAATAACATCTAAACCCAGGACATTCCAGGTTAAATACACTATAATATTATCATATAGGAAAAATGAGTATTAAATGGAATCTGTAATGCTTACCTGGATCTGCACTCCCCCCTGCAATCTCATTAAAGAGGTGGGTATTACACTTCTATACTCCTAGCCAGCGCTGCCATAAGTGCAAAGCAGGGATCTCTTCTAGTTTTTTTAATCCAAATCTAAATATTTGCTAGCAAAACTGCATACACAATGCATAAAGCTAAAGTTATGTGATGACAGGTTTCCTTTAAGATATTTAAACATTTTTGGCTCTTCTACTAGTGTCTATAAACATATTGCATCACACACTGGGTTATTTACAAAAGTGAGAATTCAAGGTGAATTCAAAGTGAATTGCAAATTCAAGGTGAACTGGAAACATTTTATAAGTCGGCTACTGTGCCATTACATTTTAAATTCACCTTGAATTGTCACGTTAGTAAACTCCCTTGATAAAGTTTATTGAGAAGCACTGAGTGCAATACTGGTATCATACCGTACACATATTTATATACTTGGATTTTGTTCAGAATGGAAATGTCAAGAATTTCATATCGAGTGTTGTGGATGTTGTGGAATAAAAGGTTTATAGCATGAGGACAACTACCGAGTCCACATAATTTGAAAAGTTAATTTTGTACATTGCAAGCTCCAGAATTGTGGAGTAATAAAATGTCATATAATGTAAATGCCACATGTCTGTTTTGTTCTAGTCCACAAAATAGGAATTACAACACATTCAGTTGATGTATAGACTACTCCAATGTCTCCATGTACAGCAAAACCAGACAGTATACTCTAAGTGTGCACTATAATTGGTTGTTTGAGAACTATATTTAATCAAAATCAATATTCCTTATATCCCTTATAGTCCCTTATATTAAAAGGTATCTAGAACCAAAAATGCATGTGTATGGAATCACAGTTTAAGCTCCCTGGAATAGGAGACAAAAAAAAATCCCCTTTCCGAATTCCGATACATTACAGCCAAAATACTAAATCTAAACAAAGCAAATCTGTTGCAGATTAAATTAATTTTAGAGCCTGGGTCTTTATCCATACTTTGCATTAAGAAATCCCAATGGATTCCTGTAGATGAGCTGAAAACCTTATTTTATAAGGTTATAAAACAAATACATACACATACACACAGCCAAAAGCAAAACTTATAGAATTATTCTTGATTCATGTCTGCTTTAACCCTTGCAATGATGTGGGCACGTTTTCTGGGAAGATCTATAGTCTAAATTAAGATATGAGAATGTTATCAGTGCTAATCTGGCTTGAAGAGCCTGGGGCAGATTTAAATAGTTCCCTATATTATAATGCATTTTACCAACGAACACTGCATCCTGTAGCCTCTCCACCTAAAGCAAGATCTATACAAATCCACTCCTGTCAATGAAACCTTCTTATCTATGCTCAGTGAGGTTTCCACTACTATGTAAACATGTCCATTTTCATTTAAACAGGGATTTAGATGGACAAACTGCAACAACAAGTTTCATTATAAAATAAAATGTTTTAATTGTTGATGGAGCAACATACTCAATTAAATAAGAGACAATAACGCATTAATCAACATCACAACAAACATGCACTGTCTGTGCACAACAAAAGCAAAGCCATGATCAGCAAGGATACAGAGAGTGACCTAGGGATGTGCCTGTCATCTGAGGGAGGAGTCACCAAGAGTCCATAGTAAACCCTACTTTCCTAAAAACACAAATCCCAACACACAGACGTATATCTACACACACCCCCAAATTCTGACCTCATCCCAGGCTGCAGGGAATTCAATCTTAATATCATCGCATATACCAATTCTGTCCCACCTCTCGCCTTTATAAATAAAGCAAAGCGGGGCCGAAGCGCAGTGAGATGGGCAAGGAGAACGGCCCATCATCAGGTCCCTTTAAATTCGAATCTCAAGTAACAACACATTCAGTGTGTGGAACCTGCTCAGTCACGTGTAGACAGCACACTGCATGGACACTTTGGGAAGACATAAAAACACACACACACACACAAAAAAAAACATTAAACAAGACACAAAGTTTCTCTTACCAAAAAGGTCCTAGTACTTCTGCTTGAGATCCTCTCCAAACCAACCTCCTTAGCCCTGATCTGAGGCTTCTTCCTTTAATAAACGTGGAAAATAAAAATAGAGGGGAGGGGGCTTGCTGTACAGGGTAATTTCTTTCCAGATGAGCAGCGATCGTCCCCCGATCCGCAGTGTAAATATATATATATCTGTCTTCTATCAGTGCCCCTTTGGCTGCTGTCTGCAGAAAGGGTTGTGGAGGAGAGGGGGTGATAGAGGGGGAAAGAAATGTTCCCACCCCCTCCCAAAATAAAATCTCTCTTTTTTGTGTGTGTATTGCAGAGTCCCTTTGTTCTATAATCCCAGTAAGATTGAAAGCCATTCGTCCTGTCTCTAATCCCAGCCCTGCTCAACAACAGCATCCATTGGCTGTAATTTACATACAGGATTAACAAACCAGCTTCAAGGAGGAAAGAGGAAAAAAAGACAGAAGATAGAAAGAAGAAAGGGGATAGGTGGAACTGGATTTTTTTTCCACAGGCTAATTTATAGCATTAGAAAGGTTGGCGAGGGTTTCACAGAATCTAGGCTAGAGGTTGATGATATGAAAAAAAGCAACGCTCAGAGATTGCAGATTAACATGTGTCTATTCCACACATAACTGTGTGTTTCTTTTAAAGGAAGGCTGTCTGCTTAGCAGTTTAACATGGAGGGTGTGGGTGAGGGTGTAATTCAGATTACAGATTAGTGGGCAGATTTACAGGGGGAAACCAAACTGCAGAATTACTGCACACACTAATGACACAGCACTCACAATTAGACGACTTCTTCAACAGGGTGGTTATTCATTAAAAATAGATATTTTTATACACAATTTACCATTCTGAGAAATTATTTTACTGTAATTCTATCACTAGAATGAAAATCTGTATTTATATTCTTATGTATTTATTTTTATTATACACAGATCATTGTTTTGCATGCTCTAAAATTAGTGAAATATTGTTTTTATTCTCAAATAAACCAGATTAGCAATCCTAATCTGGAATTATTTCCTTTTTAGAACCAGTGAATATAAATGCATTACAGGCTATACCAGCAGTGATACATCTGTTTTTTCGTTTTTTTTAAGATAGCAACATCTGGGCATATGGCTGTGGGTTGAATTAGACAGTCTTTAAACAAATGTATAGATTTCTTAAAAATTTATATAAACAGTGCTTTCCTTTTTGTATGTTTTATTTTCTCAAATATGACACAATCCCATTTAAAAATGAAAATGAGCAATTGAAAATAATATTTATTTTTTAATCTTACAATGTTTCTTTATTAAAGGAAAACTTGTAACCATTACAACTTGGTGTAGTGGTTATGTTGCCAAATTACCTCAGAGATCAATTCCCTGATTTACCTAAATATTTAAGAGAAGGTTTACAAAAAACAGGAGCTCTCCATAGCACCAGGACACCACTACCTATACAAATTTCTTCCGTTTCCTTCAACATGGCAGCGATTGGATTACAGAGGGAACTTTTAATGGAATGATTTTTCCATTTGCCAATTTGTCAATAAGGGATCACAGTTACTCTGGGTAATATATTTCAACTGATTAACCAAGCCATTTTTTACGTTTTAATTTCAAGCCAAACGAACTCGGTAAATAACTGACACATTTTAACAAACTAAGGAATACACCGAATATTATGAAACGTTAAGGGATACTCCAAATATCATAACCAGTACCACTGCAGCCTCCAGTAGCGGTAATGAGGCCACGTGTCCTGATAATGGCGCAAAATATTTTGGAACAGTTGCCAACTTACCTGGGTTCAGCTGCGCTCCTACTCTTCGTTGAAGGTAGATTTACGACTTCTGGCATTTGTGTCAGCTGACTGCTCTCAGCCAATCAATACGCATCTGTGCATCGTAATTTGCACAGAATTGACAGCCAGGAGCACCTTTGGCCCCAGAGGGATTAATCTTTATATGTGCAGCATTTCAGAGCAATGACCACTTATAATCACTAAAGTGCTCATGATGCCTGGTGTAACCCTTTTACAATGGTAATAATGGTAAAATTACATATTGTAAGCAAACACTACTTACATATATAGTGTGGGGGTTGCACTAGAATCCTCAGTGCCCACGATGCACATGGTGCCATGTTATTGACTTGGTGACTTTTCTGTTGGTAACCTCACCATTTTATGTTTCCTAAACCTCTTAATGTCAGCATATCAACTTTGAGATAATGTGATTAGTGACAACATCTACATTAAGAGCAGTTTTAAGGAACACTTCAGCATACATATATGCATAATAACGGAGGGATGTATCGCCATTACAGGTGATCTCAGCCAATCCAATGCTTTAACTTAGGGAATCATTGGAGGAAGTTAGTGTGCATGCGCAGCAATCATCATAAGTGCACATCTCCTCATAGAGATGCTTAATGCACAAGATGTCCAATGTAGGTCCTACAAAGATTGCAGAACTGCATCAGAAAGGTCCTTTAGTGGCAGGCTCGGATCCATATTTCTAACCTACCCAGCTCTAGTCCTGGGTCAAGAATACCCAAGGTTGGCAGGAATGCATGTTCAGCACAGCATGAATTTGGAGGCCAAGGCAACACTTTAACTCTTTATCATGTTCCTCAAATCATTTCTGAACAATTTTCGCAGTGAAAGAGCTGAAAGAGGCCACTGCCATCAATCTCTAGGAAGGTGGTACGTGTCAAAGTAACATCTACATGATTGCCAGGACTCAAGGTTTCCCAGTAGAACATTGTCTAGAGCAGTGCTTTCCAAACTGTGTGTTGCAACACGTTAGTGTGTCGGCTGGTGTATGCAGGTGTGTCACACGAGCGTGACCGTTTTATGCAGTGAATACTAATTGGAACTTGCATGAACCCACGCTTGCAATGTGCTATTCAATGCCAATTAGTATGCACCACGGTCGAGAGATCATACTGCGCATCAGACAGCGGAAGTGGGGCGTCATGACGTGGTCACAGACACATGGTGCACCCTGTGCAGATAACAGGGTCGAGAGAGAAGATGAGAAAGCGTGCAGTATTCTTAACAGCCTTACTAGATTTTGAAGTGTTGTAAGTGTGATCCGATCAACCTCATACATGTCAGTAAAATGGTAAGTAGTTATTAGATTATTAACTTTTTTACATATTATACTCATAAATGACCACATTCTCTGGAATGTATGTTATCTTGCAAATCGTATATTTTTAAAAATACATGAAAGGTTTTCCAGATATAATTTGTGTCCCCATATATTTTGTTATTACAAATTATGTGTTTTTACAATTTATGTATGAGTACCATTAAATTGTGTAATAGTACCATCCCTTGGATGTTGGACAAAAGTAACATTCCCAGGACGTACTTGGAAACCAAAGTAATCTGAGTGTACCTTTCCTGGTTAAATACTTTGTTATTATTATTGTTATTTGTCTCTATCTCTTATAAGGGGTTAGTAAAAGTCTAACTTACATAGTAACATAGCTGAAAAGAGACTTGCGTCCATCAAGTTCAGCCTTCTTCACATTTGTTTTTTGCTGTTGATCCAAAAAAAAGGCAAACAAAAAAAAAACAGTTTGAAGCACTTCCAATTTTGCAACAAATTAGGAAAAAAATTCCTTCTTGACCCCAGAATGGCAGTCAGATTTATCCTTGGATCAAGCAGTTATTACCCTACATTGAAAAAGTATATCCTTGACTATTCTGTTTTTGCAAGTATGCATCTAGTAGCTGTTTGAACATCTGTATGGACTCTGATAAAACCACTTCTTCAGGCAAGAACTCCACTTCCTTATTGTTCTTACAGTAAAAAAACCTTTTCTTCGCCTCAGACAAAATCTTCTTTCTTCCAGTCTAAACGCATGATCTTGTGTTCTATGTAAAGTCCGGTTTGTAAATAGATTTCCACACAATGGTTTGTATTGGCCCCGAATATATTTGTATAATGTTATCATATTCCCTTTGAGGCGATGTTTTTCTAAACTAAAGAGGTTTACATTTGTTAACCTTTCTTCATAGTTAATATGTTCCATTCCTTTTATTAATTTTATAGCCCATCTCTGCACTTTTTCTAGTGCCATAATATCCTTCTTTAGAACAGGCTTCCGGTTTGCTAGTCAAACTGGTTTACTGTGTCATGAAATGATGCTTGTCTAAAAAGTGTGTCACCAATTTGGAAAGTTTGGAAAGCAAAGCAATGGTCTAGATCAACCTCTGCTGGTCAGTCACACACACTCACTGACTTGACGCACAAGAACACACACACACACATCGTCCCTTATTTGACACACTCTAACAGGCATACATACATTCGCTGACAGACACATATATACGGATACAGAAACACACTCACACAGTGTTTTAATTTTTTTTATTTAAGTCCACCCAGCCTCCCTACCTTTGGCAGAGCTTGAATAGATAGTTTCCCTGGGGTCCTGTTTAGATCCTGTCCTGGGGTCCATTGGGGATCTTTTCCCTGGGGTCCAGTGCAGGGTTGCTCTCACCTTTTTGCTCTGTTCACAGAGATCAGCGCTCTCTCGACGACCACCTACAATACGCACAGCCACCCGCCTCAGGGGGCTGGAAATGGGCCGCCGGTCAGCTCTTGATGTCGGTGTTTCCTAATGACACAAGGCTATCAAGACATCTGCAAAAGTTGCCGGGGCGTCTGGGGGCGGTGTTTAGCCTTGTTAGCATCATGGTAAATACAGCTCTGGTCTTGGGCGCCCATGACCCTGACGCCGGTTCATCGGTTTTCCTTGCTAGCACCACGTTTTTTGTAGGTACTAACCACTCTGCATACCAGGAACACCTCACAAGACTTGCTGTTTTGGAGATGCTCTGACCCAGTCACCAGCCCTTGTCAATGTCATTCAGCTCTTTTCGCTTGCCCATTTTTCCTGCTTCCAAATATGAAATTCAAGAACTAAATGTTCACTTGCTCCCTTACATAAACCACCCTTGACAGGTTCCATTGTAACAATGTAATCAATGTTATTCATTCCACCTGAAGTGGTTTTAATGTTGTGGCTGATCAGTGTATATTTGACATCAAATACACTTTGGAAATTGGTGAACATCAGAGAAAACAAGCAGGTGTCTCCTTGATTGTACAATGAATTTTATGTGAGCAGTAATGAATAAAAAGTAATTATCTGATAACATCTTGATTTTAATGGTAGAGGCATTAAGCAAAAGAAAAAAAAAAAGGAAAAAAGTTCAAGGATGCTGCAAAGATCAAAATAAATCCTTCTAATTAGTGGATTTTACTGTTTCAGCCACACCCCTTGCTAATAGGTTAAGAAAAATAACACACAGCAATACACTCTCCCTACACAAATACCAACAGTAGAATGGGCTCAGTGATTTTCAACATAGCAATGTTTTCCCAGCTGTAAGTGTAAGTCCTATTAATGTAAAGCACGAATGTCTAGTTATCAGAGTTTACATCAGGAAAGTTCATAGAATTAACTCATAAGTGCATCCCCAATTTGGTAGTGCGTCACGTTACACTGTCTTCAATGCAAGACTATTGCTCAATACAGAACTACCTATAGAAACAGCATCTGTATAAACAGTGTGCTTTGGGAGCTTGTGTTTCCATTCCCCAGCAGCCATACACAAAAATATGATCACCCTGTGTAATTCTGCCAAATGTCCCTATTTAGGAGGGACAGTCCCTATGTTCTGTCTTTTTTACCCCAATGTCCAGAGGCGTAACTAGAAACCACGAGGCCTCGGTACCAAAATTGCCCTGGCCCCCCCGTACTTCAACCCCCACCACCCTCCTCCCATACGTCTATCGCCCCCCTCCCATACGTTACCCCCTCCCCCCACACATGCAAACAGATACACATGTAGACACACACATATACACACACACATACAGACACACATACATACATAAATACAGACAGACATACAAACAGACATACATACATTCACACACATACAGACACACACACATACAGACACACAGACAGGGGCGGGCTTGGCCGAGGGGCAGGGAGGCAATTGCCCCCCAGGCCGCCCTAAATAATTTTTAAACCGGCCGCGGCGGGCCGGTCCTAATGCTGCAGCCGCCTGAGCGCTCTGTTAAGAGCCTCAGGCGGCTGCAGCGTTGCTTCTCCCCTCCACTTCCCTGTAGCGTGGCCGAGCTCCTCTCCAGTTCCTTCCTGTTCCGCGCGGAGTTTCTGTTTCCTGTAACCGGCCGGACTGACAGGAAGTGCACACTGAGTGTGCACTTTCCTATCACTCCAGCCGGGCACCGCAGACCGGAGAGGGGCTCGGCCACGCTTCAGGGAAGGGGAGGAGAGGGGAGGGGTAAGAAGAAGAGGGGGGTAAGAAGAAGAGGGCGGTAAGAAGAAAGGGTGGGGTAAGAAGAAGGGGGGTAAGAAGAGGAGGGGGCAAGAAGAAGAAGGGGAGTAAGAAGAACAGGTGGGGGGTAAGAAGAACAGGTGGGGGGTGAAGAAGAAGGGGTAAAAAGAAGGGGGGTAAGAAGAAGGGGGAGTAAGAAGAACATGGAGGGGTAAAGAACAGGCACGAGTAAGAAGAACCAAAAGAAGAACAAGGGGAGTAAGAAAACAAGGGGAGAGTAAGAAGAACAAGGGAGTAAGAAGAACAAGGGGAAGTAAGAAGAACACAAGGGAGGAGGGGGAGAGTAAGGGTGAGGAGAAGGGGAGATGAGGAGAATGGGGGGACTGAGAAGAACACAGGGAGGGTGGGTGGTGAGGAGCACACAGGGAGGAGAGGGGGTTAAGAAGAACACAGGGAGGGGGGTGAGGAGAAGGGAGATGAGAACACAACACAGGGAGGGGGAGGTGAGAAGAACACATGGAGGGTGGGAGTGAGAAGAACACAGGTGGGGTGAGTGAGAAGAACACGGGGGTGAGTGAGAAGAACACGGGGGTGAGTGAGAAGAACACGGGGGGGAGTGAGAAGAACACGGGGGGAGTGAGAAGAACACGGGGGGATGAGAAGAGCACAGGGAGGGTGGGTGAGTGTGAGAAAAGACCGCTAGAGGAGGGTGGGGGAGAGCTCTAAGGGACAGAACGAACAGCTCTATAGGACAGGGGGCAAGACAGGGAGCTCTTTCACACTACGCGCGCACACGCACACACAAT